TGCCTGCCTTCAGCAGCCAGCCTGGGATGGGAGCGACTGGAAAAGGGGGTGTGGGGTGGATGGGCTGTGTCCTGAGCTCATCCTGCTCCCTGGGATGGGGCTGGGCATTGGGCACACGTGAACGCGATTCCCCCTTCACTTGCGTCCCCTTCTCTTGTAGGCTCAGAGCATGATCCCCATCAACGAGCCCTACTCGGATGGTGAGTGTGGCACCGGCTCTTCCTATGGCTGTGCTCTGGTGGGGCATTGGCCTCCTCTCACCAAACCAGGCTGGTTCTAAACCCTTTCTTGGGTGGCTGCGGGTACAGCTCCAGCCTGGCCTGCTGGGGATGCTCAGCAGGATGCTGGCCCTGGCGCTTGGGGCCATCGGTGGCACTTGTGTCCATTGTGGGTGCTGTGGGCAGGGGGACCAGGAGGGGGTCTGGGCTTGGAGAAGCCCTTCACTGATGGGAACTGAGGTTGCTCCATCCCTTCCCGCAGAGCTGGACCCCGGCTATCGCCCCATGTACTCGGGTGACATCCCCCTGGACCCCATCGACATGCACATGGACATGGATGGGGACTACCCCATGGACGCCTACAGTGACGGCGTCCGAGCGCCCTTTGCTGACCACATGCTGGCCTAACGCGCCCCGCAGCCCCGCACCAGGTACCGCTGCCCTGTGCATGGCAGGGCCGGGGGGTCCCCGTTGTCTCATGGGCTTTGGTGTCCACCCGGTTCCCCTCTCAGCTCAGTAATGGGAGCTCTCCCTGCCCCGTGCAGGTGTTTTCTCCGTACAGAAGAGGGTGGCCCCAGGCTGAGCATCTGCAAGAAGGACTTGGGAGACAGAAGTGCCTGAGAAGACAAAACTTTTCCATTCCCACCAGAGGCTTTGGTTTTCGATGTCTTTCCTTGGCTGTGGGGCTGCGGAGAGGGTCCTTTCCCCCGGGACTTCTCTGCGCACCTCCTGCCGCATCCAGCATCCAAGATACTGTTTCTGAAGCTTTAAGACCCCCAAGCCCTGCCCCGTCTGCCGCCTTCCGTTGCCACAATAGTCCTTTTTCTATGACTAGAGATTTCTTTTGTATTTTTAATATGGTGCCAATGGCTTTTGCCACCTTTAAGTTTGTGCTTTCCACCCCCACCACCCCCCCCCCCGCCCTGCTGCTTGTTCCTGTGTTGGTGTTCAAGGGATGGAATCTAACATGGGAAAACCCTTTGCTCTCCGCGAACCCAAACTCAAATCAGGCCAACCCTGTTTGCTGAAAGCAAAGCGTGCCCTGTCCCAGGACCTTCGGTTTAGCCATTGGGATGTCTCTTTCTCACCAGCCGTTGGGGAGCTGACTCTGTACCTGCCTATCCCCCCCCCAGGACCCGTATAGGAGTGATCCCGCATTAGGAACCGTGTCCTTGTTACTGATCTCTGTTGCACATTTTAACCTGTTTCCCTTCTTTTTGGTGAGTGGTGTGTTCCTGTCCCCCCCTCTTCTCTAACACATGTTCTAAAGAGGCTCTAGATGGTTTAACGCTTCCCCTGGAGGGGATGGACGGTTACAGGAGCGTGGTGCAGGAATGGAAGAGTTTATTATTTCTGTAAGTTGTTTTTGTATAGACCAAAGCAAAGAATAAAATAACCCCCCAGCCCTGCAGTGCCCTGAGCCTGTTCTTCTGCCCCCGAGCCCCATTGGGGTGGCCAGGCTGCAGGTGACCAGCACCCTCCTTGTGGGAGCTCATTCCAGCCTTTGCACCCGCTTTGCCTGGCCCAGGGCTGAGGTGGTGGCTGGGGATGATGCTCAGCAAGGCACAGGTCACCTCTGGCAGCCCTATGCCCGTCACCAGGCACCTCTGCTCTGTCAGGAGCTGAAACCTCCCTGTAATTAAGACTCGTGCTCATTAGGCAGCATCAGCAGCATCTCCTCTTTACTGAGGTGCTGGTCAGGATTGAGCTGCGCTGAGCGATGGAGCGGAGCCTGGATGGGGCCAGATGAGAGGGCAGGTGAAGGGTGGCACCGCCTCCATCAGCCAGGGCTGCCTCCTGCCCAGCACGGGAGCAGATGGCAGAGGAAATGCTCTTGGCTCAGCAATGGGAAGCGTCTCCTGTGCCAGGAGGGATCGTGCTGGGAGGTGGACACGGCGCAGGGCACAGCAGGGCATGGAGGGTTCTGCTTGGCCATGATCAGACCCGGCAGGAGCCGCTCTGGGAAGCGGGGCCGGCTCCATCCCTGTCCCATGGCTCAGGGATCATCCTGCGCTCAGCTCAGCCCCGGTGCAGCCAGGATGCGTCCGCGCTTCCTGCCCCGGCCCTGCCATAGGGATGAGGAGCACGGCAGCTGCTTCCCGGGCAGAGCCGAGCGCGCTTCCGGAGGGCAGCGGGGCCGGAGGCAGCTTCGGGACAAGGCCGGGCTCAGGGAGGCGCTGCCAGAACAGGGGCTGGAGCAGTGACAACAGGAACCGGGCCCCGTGCAGGGGGAGCAGGACCGAGCGCCTGCCCCAGGAGGGACCGGGTCCTGCAGCATCCTCAGCACCGGGGCCATGGCCAGGGATGTGCCCCTCAACCTCCAGCGTCTTCTCAATGGGGCAGGTGCTGAGACCTCCATGGCCCCACTCCCAGGTGGGGCTCTGACACCTGTAAGGGGTTTTCCATTGGGATTCCAGCTCCCTCGGAGTGAGCGGCTGGGGGCCTGTGGCTGGACCGGGATCCCCAGGGATGGGTTGGCCGCAGGAGCCGGGATGTGGCCGTGCTCCACCTTCCGCAGAGCCTGAACCAGGAAGTCAGCGTGGGAGCGGGGAGGGTTTTCCTGCTTTGCGGAAGAGGCTGAGGCCGCGGAGCGCATCCCTGCAGGGGGAAGGGAGCTGAGGACACAGCCCTTGGGCACAGGGAGCTTCCCACGGTGCGGGCAGCCCCAGTGAGGGCTGTGACAGGCACAGAGCACCCGGGGGTGGGGATCGCAGCTGGGAACTTGGGCAGCGTCAGGATGAGCAGGGCAGGATCCACCCCGATGGCCTTGGGTGCATGGAGAGACCCATTGCTGGGGGGGGGGGGGGGAATCCAGCACTGCGGGAGCCACGTCCTGGCCGTGTCTGTGACTTCAAGGGATGCTCCCAGCTCAGGAGGGCTCCACAAGGACCCCCCTGGGGACCCCCCTGGGCTGGGGCAGGGCAGGAAGGCACCGGCCCCATCCCAGCCATGGGATGAAGCCACCCGCGGCTGCACGGGCAGGGCCGTGCAGGGCAGGAGCCGCCCGGTGGCAGCGGGCAGAGGGCACCGGGCTCAGGTCTGTGCCTGCCCCCTGCCCCGGGCCCTGCTGCTCCCGCTGCTGCCCCGGCACCACCGCCCTGCTCCCATGGGGCAGGTCCCGGGTGCGATGGGAGCTGCTCGGACGGGTCCGGACCCGGCTCTCCCTGGGCACCGTGAGTGCAGGAGCGGGGCCAAGAGCAGGCGCAGGGCTCTGGCAGCGCCGGCCCCGCGCTGACTCACACCGGGCTCCATCCCCGCAGAGCGGGCAGCGGCAGCACCGCAGCACGGTGGGTCCCTTCCTGCGCTGGGGGCAGTGGGGTTTGGGGCTAAGGATCTGTTCCTTGGGCAGATCCAGCCACCTGCGTCTGACGGTTCCAGTGCCGGGGGCAGAGACTGGGGCCGTGTCCCTGCTGCCTCCCGGCTGTGCAGGGTTTGGGCGCTGCAGAGGCAACAGCGATGCCCTGGCACGGCCCTGCTGGGGGGAGCAGGGGTGGGGATGGGGCACGGGGCTCCCGGCCGGGCAGAGCGGTGCCCGCAGCGGCTGCAGCCGGAACCGGGGCGCCCGAGGGGGCAGGAAGGCGCTGGTTTATGGCCTGCCCCGTGATGCGTTTATGGCCGGGCCGGGGCGGGCGCGGGTGCTGCCCAGCCCTGCCCGGGGCAGCGCGGCGGGTCCCGGCTGCGCATCCTGCAGCGGGCGGGGAGCGGGCTCGCAGCCGAACTTTGCCCTCCGAGGTGCGGCTCCGCAGGCTCCCGTGCGTCCGCCCGCTGCCGAGCACCTCCGCGGCTCCTTCCCTCGCCCGCTACCACTGGAGGGCCCCGGAAGCGAGCCCGGGGAGGGGAGCAGGCTCCTGGCCCATCCCTTCGGAGCATCCTCCCCCCCCTCCGGCACTGGTGCTGATCCGGACATCACCAAGTGTTTGCTTTGGTGCTGAGTGCCCGTAGGGAGCTGAGCAGGTACGATGACCCGGCGCCATCCCGGAACTGTGCCGTGTTCAGCAGCAGTGGGGCCTGTCCTGGTGCTGGCTGCTGCCCCTGTCCCCATGGGGGGACCCCCGGCCCTGGCCGCGCTGTCCAGGTCCCCACAAGCGCCGGTTGGGCAGATGCTGCCCATAGGGAGCCTTTGACCAGCGGGCAGGGTGCTTGGGGACAGGACTCGGAGCGTGGGGTTCAGGATGTGTCCCTGGTCCCCAGAGCATCGCCCTAACGGCTCCTTGTCTGCAGGCAGGGGCTGCAGGAGGGACTCTGCTGCCAGTGCTGCTCCGGGGAGCCGGGGTGCAAAGAGCTTCTCCCATGGCCCCCCCCACGTAACAGCAGCCAAACTGGACACCGCGGTCCCACCAGAGACCCCCTCCGGCCACCTCCAGCGCAGCCCGGGCTCCCCCGTCACTGCCCTGCCGCACACCAGCCCCACATCCACAGGCGGATGCTGCGATGCCGCGACCATCACTGGTGGGTAGAGCCGGGTTGTGGTGGGGAGTGGGGTGAGGGGGACGAGGAGCTGCGGCAGCTCCGGGCTGGTCCTTTGTCCTGTCCCCATCTGTGGCCAGAGCTGAGCCATCCTCCTGGCATCCCTCACCCCACACCAGCATCCCTCTCCTCACAGCATCGCTTACCCCACACCAGCATGCCCTGCCCCACGGCATCCCTCTCCCCACACCAGCATCCCTCTCCCCACAGCATCCCTTACCCCACACCGGCATCCCTCGCCCCACAGCATCCCCCACAGCATCCCTTCTCCTGACGAACCCAGCGCTGCTCTGCCGGGCAGAGCGTGGCCAGGAGATGGCAGCAGGACCCTGCCCGCGGAACGCGGAGGGAACGGGGGGGCGAGAGGGGTTAGGGCTAGGACCTCGGGGGGGTCCCTGTTTGCCACCCTATGGGGGCCCCCCAATCCCGGGTCCCTTCACGAGTGTCTCTGGGGAGCTCCCGGTGCCCCCCCCCCGGCTGAGGCCGTGCCCGGTGCTCCCAGAGCCGTGCAGCGGCGACGTCCCCGAGGTGGAGCTCAGCAGCCTCCTGCGGGAGCCGCTGCCCCGCTACACGCTGCGGGCCGACACCGTCTTCGGCTACGACCACGAGGACTGGCTCCGAGCCCCCCCCGGCCCCCCGGGGCCCGCGGCCCCGCTCACGCCCCGGCAGATGGAGGAGACGCTGCGGTACTTCCGTGAGTGCGGGGTCAGGGCGGCACCGGCGCTGATCGCCGCTAACGGGATAACGGGAACGGGATAACGGGATTGCGGAGCGGGATTTCCTCACCCGGAACATCCCGCGCTAATTCCGGCAGCGGCTTCTGCTGAGCCGAACCGGATGCTCGGGGAGAGGCTCCGGGTACCCCGGGACCCCCTGCACGGCCCCGCGCCCCCCTCGCTGTGCCATGGGGGGGACACGGGTGACAGAGGGGTCACCGGTGCCCCCAGCGCTGCTGCGAGCCGCTGAAGGGGATGAGAAGCCCGGGGGGGGGGGGGAGCACACACAGCCCCCATGGTGGGGCAGGGGCGATGCCCCCATGGTCGCTGTTGGCTGTGGGGCACTGATCTCTGCTTCACTTCAGCCTCCGGCCTGCGTGCGGTGGGGACGGGATTAGAGCGAGGGGCTGGATGTGGGGCAGTGGGAGACAGATGGGGCTGAGGCCGCTGCCTGCAACAAGCTGGGGATAAACCCCCCGTCGTGCCCTGCCCTTGCTCCAGCATTCCCCATCCATCTGCTCCCCTCCCTGTGCCGCCGGGTGCAGCCCCCCCCAGACACCAGCACCCCCCAACCCATGGAGGGATTGAGCCCCAAAGCCCATTTAGGTGCCACGGGGCAGGGAGCAGGATGCGGGGGCCTCCATGGGCCGGGGGTCACGTTTCTCTCTGGCTCCAGCACCGCTGTGGCGGGGGCTGGCCCTGCCTCATCCCCTTAACCCAAACCTTTAAGCTGCCGTCAGAAATAGCCCCCTGTAAGCTGCTTGCGCACAGACGCGAGGGACCTGCCCCCAGGAGCCGATCCTGGCGCTGGGGATTAGGAGGAAGCAGCTCCTGCCTGGCCAGGAGACCCTGCTGTGTCCTTGGGGTCCCTGGGTGCATGCCCTGGGCTGCTGCTGGGTCCCTGCCCTCACTGGGAGAGACCCTGGTGTGAGGAGGGCGATGCTGGGGCTGAGGGTGCCCGGCTCTGGCCCCAGCTGCAGCAGGGTTATGGCAGGACGCGTTTTGGGGCAGGGGATGGGTGGGAGTCCAGGAGGCAGGAAAAGGCATCATGGGATGAGGAGGGGCAGCTCCAGCCCCAGCCTCATCGACCCATCACCGAGGTTGGTGCTAATGAGGACTGGCACTGGGGCAGGCCGTGCGTATGTTGGCATTACCAGCATCACGCTGAGCCGTGGGGCCGTGATGCTGTGGGGCTGTGATGCTGTGGGGCCCTCGCCACCGCCCTCCCGCCCCTGAGGCCTGCGTACGTGCCGGGCTGCTCCTCCATAATTCAGCCCATGATTTATTCAGCTCCTGCTTCCACGCTGGTCGTGGTTGTGGGGCTGCAATGGGGGCCGCAGCGTGGGGCACAGGGCCAGGGGTCGCGCCAGCCCGTGCTCGGGGTAGGGGGGTGCTGATGGATGGAAAAACCCTTTCCCAGCTCAGGGACCCCGCAGGGCCCAGCACTGCCCTGGGCACCGTGCGGGGTCTGTGCTGAGCGGGTGGGTGATGGTGAAGCACCCAGGGCTGGGCAGGCAAAGGCTGCGCTGTGGTACCCGGGGACCCCAGCCCTGCACAGGCTGGGGTTCGGATGAGGGACCCAAAACCTCCCCTCGCCCCTCCTAAGGGGCAGAAACTGCATGACCCCATGGAGTCAGCCCTGCAAAGGGACCAGGGAACCCTCCACAGCCACATCCATGGGGACCCCTGTGCCCAGCCCCCCCCGCATCGATGGGATAGGGGCTGGGAGGAGGGACACATCACCCAGCGCACCGGTACCCCTGGATTGTCCTGATGGGTCCCCAGGGGGGGAGCAGGAGCCGCTGGGACCCGATCCAAAGGGATCGGGCAGGGAAGGGCAGCCCCAGCCACAGCCCCCCCCCCCGGCCCCTCCAGCTCCGCCCCCTGCCCCGCTCTCGGTCAGGTGCGCGCAGCCCGGACGGTGCCATAAATAGGGGCGGGCTGCGCGGCGCAGCGGGCACGGGCGGGCGCAGCGCGATGGAGATCTGGAGCAGCCCCGCTGCCTACGATGAGCGCAGCGGGAGCGCGGAGCGGGGCGGCGGCACCGACCCCATCGCCCGGGAGCTGGAGGAAGGTGAGGGCGGCCCCGGCCGGCCCTGCCCGGGGGCAGCGGAGCGGGGTCCCCGCCGGGCGGTGCCTTTCCCGGCCCGCTGCGGGGTGCGCAGGGCCCGCTCGCAGCGCTGGGACCCGGAGCGGGGCTCTGAGCCCCTGCAGCGCTGCAGAGGGGATAGGGGATAGGGGCCCGGCCAGGTCCGTGTGTGCCCACGGGATGGGGGTCCCTGTGCGTCCATGGGATGGGGTCCCCGCATCGCCCCGGTCCCCGCATCCCGCTGGATGAGGCCGGCGCTGGGGCGCTGTTTACGCGTTTGCAGCTCTCAGCCCCCTGTGTCTGCCCCGGGCCCGCCGCTGCTCAAACCGTAACGATGCTCATGCTCTAATTACTTCTAATTAACGGCTCGGGGCCTGACGAGGTGCACTTGGGGACCCTGCAGGGCGCAGCTGCTGTTGGGGTGCGGGAGGGGGATGAAGCTGGGGTTGTCCCTCCCCTCTCCCCATGGATGTGCCCGCTGGGGTGCAGGGGACCAGCGCTGCGGGGCAGTGGGGACCGGGGGATGGGTCTTGGGGGGGGGCATTGCTGTGACAACGCACACATCACTGCACCCCCCACCCCCCAGCTGGGGCCGGGTAATGGGATTTGTGCGGCTGAGCTTCCCGTTAACCCGCTTTGTCTGCGCGGCTGGGGATGCAGGCTGAGGTCTGGGGAAACTGAGGCACCAAGGGCAGGGCTGGCCCTTGGGGGGGGGGGATTGAAGGGGAGGGAGCTGGGGACAGCTTGGAGGGGACGCTGCCTGCGGGCCCGTCTCGGCGTGGTGCCACCCGCTGCTGTTTGTACCGCAGCTCCAGCCTGCCCCTTGCTGGAGGTGTCGGCTCCGATCCCATCTCTGCTGCCTGCCTCTTCCCATCTGTGTGCCCTGCGGCGGGGCTGGCACTATGGGAGCAGCAGGGGGGTTCAGCGTCCTTCTTTGCCATCCCAAGAAGCAGCAGGGGTGAGGTGGGAGCACCCCGTTTCCCGTGATGCTGACCTGGCTGCGAGCATCCCTGTGCATCTCTGCCCGCTGCATCACGGCTGGTGCTGCCAAGCAGATAAAAGCTCCTTTTTGGTGGAGCTACTTGGTGCCACCTGCAGCAGCGACCCCGCGTTCCCCTATGGGCACCCCTGGGGGTCGCTGATGGGAAGCGGTGACGGGGGGGACAGCGCTGAGCCGTTGGGGTCACCCTTCACCCATCTCCCCCAGTCCTGTGCGCTGAGCGGGTGGCCAGGATCACCAAGACCTACCACGACATCGATGCTGTCACCAACCTGCTGGATGAGGTACGGCCATGGGAACCCCCATGCGGGCTGGGGACAAGGGGGCAGAGCAGGGGCCGGGCTGGGGCTGACCCGGACCTGCCCTTTGCAGAAGGAGCGGGACCTGGAGCTGGCGGCGCGCATCGGGCAGTCCCTGCTGAAGCAGAACCGGAGCCTGACGGAGCGCAATGAGCTCCTGGAGGAGCAGCTGGAGCTGGCCAAGGAGGAGGTAGCGGCCCCCGGGGTCCTGGGGGCTGAGGGGGTGCAGCCCCCACGGCCGTGCCCTGATGCCCCTCTCCCATCCCAGATCGCGCAGCTGCGCCACGAGGTTTCCATGCGGGACGATCTGCTCCACTTCTACACCACGACAACGGAGGAGAGCGAGCCCATCTCCTGCTCCTCTGCACCGTGAGTGCGGGTCCCTACCGCAGGGCTGGCACTGGGGCACTGGGCTGGGAGCCGTCACCATCCCTGGGACAGCCCCGGGGCTGCTGCTCTTTCCCCTCCTACAGCAGCCGTGGGTCCAGCCCCACAGAGCTGGGTCACTGCAGATACCTGCTGGGAGCTGGGGGCAGTGGCAGCCCCATCCTGCCCGCTCTGCGGTGCTCAGCGCCCTCTCTGCTGCCCCCAGCTTGCAGCGGCCGGAGCCCTCGCTGTCCCTGCAGCAGTACTTCCAGTACGAGACCCTGCAGCAGAAACTCAAGGGCCTGGAGGAGGAGAACCAGAAGCTTCGCATGGAGGTTGGGGGGCACCTTTTGCTGTGCCCACCCCTGCCCCACTCCCTGCGGGTCCTGCCCATGGTGCTCAGACCCTCCGACCCTCTCCCCCAGGCCACCAACATCACAACCGAGACCTGTCGGTACGAGGAGCAGGAGCAGCAGCTGATGATCGACTGCGTGGAGCAGTTCTGTACGTGCGCTTTGGGGGGCTCGGGTTGGGGGGGGGGGGGCTGCAGGCACTGCCCAGCACCGCTGCATGGGCTGGGGAAGGGGGGGCCCTGGCAGTGATGGCTCCCCCTGCCCTCCGCAGCCGAGGCCAGCCAGCAGGTAGCCCAGCTCTCGGAGGAGCTGGCCCGCAGGGCGGAGGACACGGCGCGGCAGCAGGAGGAGATCAGCCAGCTCCTGGTGCAGGTCGTGGACCTGCAGCACAAGTGCCGTGCGGTGAGTGCCCGGCTACGGGGGGGGGACACGCACAGGGCGCAGGTCCCTGAGCCCCCGCTCCTGCCCGCAGTACGGCGCCGAGGTGGAGGAGCTCCAGCAGCACTTGGCTGCGGCGAAGGAGGTGCAGCAGCAGCTCCGGATGGAGGTGAGCCCGGACCAGAGCTGGGGGGGGGGTCCCGCGTCCTGCCCGGGCGCCACCGGGGCCGTGTGTGAGCGGTGCCGGTGCCCGCAGCTGCGGGACTTGCAGGAGAAGTACACGGAGTGCGGGGGGATGCTGCAGGAGGCCCAGGAGGAGGTGAAGAGCCTGCGGAGCCGCAGCCTGCCCAACAGCACCGTCAGCCGCTACAGCACTGCCAGCCTGCTGCCCGTGGTGAGCTGAGGGGGTACCCGGGGCTGGGGGCGCGGGGGGCTCCGCTCTCCCCTCTCACCCGTGGTCCCTCGGGTGTCCAGGACTCGCTGGCAGCCGAGATCAAGGGGATGATGAGGAAGGGCGCGGACAGCTCCTCCTCGGACTACAAGTGAGTGCATCGGTGGCTCATGGCCCTTGGTGGTGGGGGGGGATCCCTGTGGGGCTTGGCTCAAGGATCCATCCCTGCTCTCCCTGCCTGCAGGAGCTGCCGGCGCATCTTTGAGACGGTGAAAGCAGTGAACCAGGCGGCCAAAGCCAAGTCTTGCTCCGAGTCTCCCCACAACACGCCGGGCTCCAAGCCGTGTTCCGCTGCCCCTTCCATGGGGAGCAGCACCCCCCGCACCGGCACGGAGGGTGCCCGGTGAGTGCCGTGGTGGTGGTGGGGCTCGGGCTGGGTGCTGGGTGTCGGTGTGATGCTGATGGAGCAGCGATGCCGCAAGCCTGGGGCCGGCAGAGCGCTGCGGGGTGCAGCGTGGGTCCATGGCCGTGCACCCCCTAACGCTGTGCCCCCGGCAGGGCCGAGGGCCCCGGAGCGGAGCCGCGGGCAGCACCGGGCCGGCAGGACCTGGAGGCCGCAGTGCAGCGGCTCTCGGTGCAGCAGCAGAGCCGCGGGGATGAGCGCTCCTCGCTGGAGGCGGAGCGGGAGCGCAAGCTCTGGCTGCGGGACGGGGACAGCTCCAGCGGCTTCCTCAGCCCCAGCGGCAGCATCGGCTCCACCGGCACCAACCGCTCTGCGAGCTCGGAGCTCACCGCCGGCTCCGGCTTCTCCCTCGGCTCCCTCTCCTACCTGCCCGACAAGCTGCAGATCGTGAAGCCCCTGGAAGGTGAGGGGTGCGGGGCCGCGCTGCGGGGCTGGATGTGCCGCGAGGTCCCCATGGCTCAGCTCTGTGCCCCCCCCCGTCCCCAGGCTCGGTGACGCTGCACCATTGGCAGCAGCTGGCACGGCCCAACCTGGGCGGGATCCTGGTGCCCCGTCCCGGGGTGCTCACCAAAGACTTCCGGCGCTTGGACATCGACCAGGAGCACGTTTACAGCCTCGACGACCTGGAGGAGGACGACGAGGACACCGGCTCCTTCCAGCTGCTCCCTACCTCAACCCCCGCCAAAGCCAAGGAGCGCCCCGGGGGTGAGCGGCTGCGGACGGGACGTGCCCCCCCCAGGGATGCTCCGGTCCTGCGCCCACCCCGCCCCGCGGGGATGCTCTGCCTGCGGCCACCCCCCTTGGCTGAACCCGCGGCCGGGAGAGGCTTCAGCTCCGGTCCCTGCTTGTCCCCGGAGCTGAGCCCTCACCCTCAGCTTTGCTCCTCCCATCCCGCCCCTGCCTGTGCCGTGCCCCCCCTCCCCGTTAACCCCGTGTCTCCTGTCCCTTCCAGTGTTCCTCTCTGTTAGCAACCTCCCCCAGACCCCGTCCACCTTCACCATCACCACCTGCCACATCCTCCACCCCACCACCGCGCTCACCACGGTGACACCCAGGTAAGGCGTGGGGCCCCCCCACCGCCTGCTCTGCCTGCACCGCTGTAACCCCCCCCCAGCGCTCTGCTCCTCACCTCTGCCTCCTTGCTCTGTGCTGGGAGCCCCCCGCAGAGCGATGCTCGGTGCTTGGGATGCTCCCACCTCTGGCTGCTTGTGCCTGGGGCTGTGGAGCCCCCCCCCACCTTTGATGGGAAGAGCACCCTTGGGCCAGAGCCGGCTTTGCTCCCGGTGCGGGACGCGGCTTCCCTCCTCTTGGCATTGATGCATCCACCAGGACCGTTCCCCTCCATTAATGAGCGGTGTTCTAGCGCTAATGAGCCCCTGTGGGGCTGGCTGGGGGCCGGTGGGAGCTGGAGGGCACTGGACACGACCCTGCCTGCTTGGAAAACACTTGTGGAGCAGCAGCAGCCCCGGCCCATTCTCTCCCGGCTCGCAGGGAATGGACCACGGCTGTAGCCCCCCAGCACCGTGCCTTGAGCTTTGCGGTGCTTGGGCAATGGTGCAAGGGTTGGGGTCACCCCGAGCTCGAAGTTTGGGAGGGGAATGAACACGGAGGAAAGGGGGGCCCTGCTCTGTTCTATACCCGCAGCAGCATCCCCCACTGACCCCCTCTTCTCCTGTCTCTTCCCTTCCAGTCTCTATAACGCGGTCGTGCCTTCTTGTGGGCCCTTTGAGGGGCTGAACTGCAGCAGCCCCCGCCCCACCAGCACCCCCGTGGGACTCGTCAGGCTCCTCCTGGGCCGGGGCATCCTCCCCTCGGTGCCAGGGATCCCCCGTGCTCATCCCCGGCCCTTCCCCATGGCCGGGGGGCAGGAGGGACCCCGGCCCCGGAGCAGCATCTTCAGCTTGAACCTGGTGGAGAAGCTGCGGCGCCTGGGGCTGGACACGGTGGTGGCCAGAGGGGAGGTGTCCTGCACCCGGGGGCAGTACAGGGGGGGCCGGGGTGCGCTGACCTGAAGGTGCCGCAGCACCCGGAGGCTCAGGATGAGAAGCGTTGTCATGGGCCAGCCCTGGGGCGATGGAGATGGGGCAGCCCCAGCACTGGTACCTATGGGTGCTGCGTTTGACTCAGCACCGCTCCTAAAGGGATGGGGAGAAGGGGAAGGATGTGAATCCCATGGGTTAAGAACAGTCCAATAACTGAAGTACGATACGAAGCCACTGCTACCACCACTAACGATAAGGGGAATATGAAACTAAAAGGGGAATAGAAAGCAATAAACACAAGTGATGCCCAATACAATCACTCAGCACCCACTGACTGGTACCCAGCGTGACCCAAGAAGTGATCATGGGAGCAGGGGGTGGCCGTGGGGAAGCTGTTGGGGTGCAGAGACAAAGGGCACTTTGGGGTCCACGTGGTGTGGGGTGACCGCAGGAGGGGCTGGGGTGTGGGGGCGTGTCCCAAGGGAGAGGTGTCCCTGTGATGGGGGGGGGTGACAGAACTGGGGGGTCCCTGGGGTTGGGGGGGGTCCCAAGCGGGTGGGAGGTGACGGGGAGGGTCCTGTCCGGGGCTCCCTCGCTCCCCAGTCCCGCCCGCAGGTGGCGCTGCAGGATAAGGGATACGCAGGCCCGGTAGGGGCGGGGCTAAGGTGGGGAAAGGCGTGGTCATGCACCATATAAGGCGTGTACCCAGCGCGGGGCGGGGATATGCAAATGAGGCCACCGCCTTGCCAAGGGAGCTTCGAGCAAGAGCCGGCGGCGGGGGTCAGGATGGGGACATTCCCATCCCTTTTCCCTTCCCTTTCCTTTTCCCTTCCCATCCCTTTTCCCTTCCGTTTTTCCTTCCCATCCCTTTTCCCTTCCCTTCTCTTCCGTTTTCCCTCCCCATCCATTTTCCCTTCCCTTTCCTTTTCCCTTCCCTTTTCTCTTCCCTTCCCTTTTCCCTTCCCTTTTCCCTTCTCTTCCCTTTTCCTTTCCCTTTTCCCTTCCCCCTGCTCAGGACCCTGTTGATCTGCAGCGGTTTCAAACAATGAAGCCGCAAAGAGTGGAATTTCCCAGGAAAACCTGAAAATGTCCCTTCTGCCCCCAAAGGAAACACAAAGAGCAAAGGACCCCCCAGCACCCGGCCTTGCTGGGTGACCCCCGGGACCCACTGCCCGACAGGGCTGATGGAGGGAGGCCGTGGAACCATGGAGCAAAGCTTTATTTGTGGCTGGGAGCGGGTGGGAATCATTTTTCCCTTGGTGTTCTCAGTGCTGGAGGCAGACGGGGGGCCTGGATGTGGGGGATGCTGTGTCCTGCTGCCCGACACTGGGATCCCCCCTTTCCAAAGAGCCGCTCCAAGGGAAGCTGTCATGTCCATAGGGACGGCACCATGTTCTCCTTGAGCAGCTGCAGGATCGAGACCCTGGGGATAAGGATGGGGTGAAGCTGACCATGGGGTGCCGTTCCCAGCCAGATGCATGGGTTCCCTTGGCTGGGAATGGGGGCAACACCTCATGCCAAGCAATTATGGGTGCTGGGCTGCACCCCATCTCCTTGCTAAGGGGTGAAGCTGGGCAACCCCCCCATTAGCACTTACCTGGGGCACGCTCTGCTCAGGCACCAACCTGGAGGAGGGAAGGGGACCAACAGCTTTGGCTGTGGCAAAGGGGACCCATGGGGTGCCCTGCTGTGAGAAGCATCCTGTGGAGACCCATCGGGACCCTGACCCCAATCCCTGCCCATCCCCTGGGGACAGGGAAGGGTTTGACCTCCTCAGTGCTGCTCATTTGTGGCTGTTCCCTGAGCCCTTCTGCTCTGAGCTGCCTGACAGGTAGTCAAAGAGGACGAAGCCGTAGGGTGCTGGCTCTGGGACCTAGGGGGGAAGGAGGGTGAGGAGGGTGCAGGAAGGAGGCAGGAAGGAGGAAGGCCATGGAGCGGGACGGGCGCCCTCACCCGCAGGCTCAGGCGCTGGATCACTTGCTGTGGGTCACTCTCCAGGATCACCCTGTGGAGCAGAGCGGTGCCGATCCCACCGGGATCCCCCAGTCCCGGCTGGGTTCCACTGGGCTCCATCACCCCGTGCCTCAGTTCCCTCCCTGGGCAAAGCCCCTGGGCTGGAGGAAACGCTGCAGCGCTGGGGGCAAAGAGGGGTGCCCGGCTCCCCCTTGGCACCATCCCAGCACCCAGGGGACCCCCTGCCCCTGCACCCCCCCCCCCCCGCAGGAGCTCACCCCCTGTCCACGATCTCATCCACCACCAGGAACGTCCCCTCCATGTTAGCCAGCAGCCGGCGCTTCTCCACCTCCTTCCTGCGGGCGAGCGGGTGGGAGGCTGGAGCAGCCGCTCCCGGTGATCCCATGTGAGGTGCTGGCAGCCGACCCCCTCATCCCGGGGTGCCCTGCCTCAGTTTCCCCGTGCGTTTGGAGCTCAGTGGCTCCAGGGACTCACTGCAGGAGGTGGCCGAGGGCGTCGAGGAGGCAGGTGAGCACGGACAACAGCATCAGCTGTGGGAGAACCAGGTTGTTAGGGAGCCCATGGGGGTGTCCTGGGTGTCACTGGGGCTATGGGGGTGCCCTGCGTGCCACTGGGGCCACAGGGGTGCCCTGTGTGTCACTAGGGCCATGGGGGTCTCTGTGTGTCACTGGGGCCATGGGGGTGCCCCGGGTGTCACTGGGACCATGGGCGTCTCTGTGTGTCACTAGGGCCATAGGGGTGCCCTGGGTGTCACTGAGGCCATGAGGGTGCCCTGGGTGTCACTGGGGCCATGGGGGTGCCCTGGGTGTCACTGAGGCCATGGGGGTGCCATGGGGGTGCCCTGGGTGTCACTGAGGCCATGGGGGTGCCATGGGGGTGCCCTGGGTGTCACTGAGGCCATTGGGGGTGCCCTGGGTGTCACTGAGGCCATGGGGGTGCCCTGGGGGTGCCCTGAGTGTCACTGGGCCCATGGGGGGGCCGTGGTTCCTACCTCATTCTCCTCTCCGCCCCCCACCACGTAGAAGCAGAGGTCTCCGCTGCTCCTGCACACCACGGTGAGCCCCTGCAGAGTCGCCACTTCACCTGCACACAGAGCAGGGTCAGAGCCCCCCGGGGCTGCTGCTGCCCCCCCCCCGCTGCTCACCGCCTCCCCGCTGGCTCTGCCTGAAGATGCTCCTCTCGAAGGCCGACTGCTCCTTGGCCGTGGGGAAGGTGCTGTCATAGTACTGCGGGGGGGCAGGGGTTCAGCCCTGTGCCGGGACCCCCAGGGTCGCATCCAGGACCCCCCGAGGCCTCCGCAGCCCGGCAGGGGTTGGTGCTGAGCGGGGGTGAATGGGGGGAAACTGAGGCACGGGGGGGGGGGTCGGGCTTCACCTTGGCCAGGAGGCGCTGCCCGAGGCTGTCCAGGACGAGCAGAGCCTTCACCGTGTACAGGGAGGGCTCCTGGGGGCCGGGGGGGCTCAGTCCCGGCCACCCCCGGCTCCGGGTGTTGGGGACCCCGCTGCTCCCTTGGCCCTCCCCGCTCCTTCCCTACCCCCGGTTCTCCCCATTCCTTCCCATTCTCTTTCCGCATTTTCCCTCTTCCATTCCTCCCCTCTCCCTCCGTCTCCTCCCCCTCTGTCCCTCTGCCCCCTCCCCGCTTTTTCCCCCTCCCGTTCCCCCCCCGTGGTTTTCCCGTTTTCTCCCCCTCCGTTCCCCCTCCCACCTTTTCCTTCCCCTTCCCCCCCCCGTTCCTCCCTATCCCGCCGAGGCCACGCGAAGTTCCCATTGGAGGCTGCGCGGTCCCGATCCCGATCCCGGTCCCAGTCCCGGCCGTACCGGCCCCGCAGGCTCCATGTCCCCGTCGCCCCTGTCCGTCCCCCCCCGCCCCGCTCCCGTTCCCGCCCCCCCCGGCCCGCTCCGCCCTGGTCCCGTCCCCACCCCAGTACCGGAGGGAAACGGGGGTCGCCGGGAGGGGGTGGTGTTGATCTCCAGCCCCGTCCTTTGCGACCAGCACCGGGTGGGGCCAATGGGGTGGGATGAGAACGGGACCCCCCCCCAAAGCCAAACCTCACCCCGGGTGGGGGGGGGACAAATTCTCCCATGGGGAGGTCCCCGCACCCCCCCCCCCCCAGCTCAGCACCGGGCACCCCAGGGCTGGTGCCTGCCCGAGCCGGGGCCGCTGCCAAACAGTTCCCGGGGGGGGGACACTAAAAATAACCCCCGAGGGGCGGCCGGGCTCGGGTTGCAGGGGGAGGTTGGGCACCGGGGCTGGCAACATCCCCCCCCCCCATCCCTCATCCCTCCCCTTGTTGGGATCCCGGGATCCAGGGGGATCCAGGGCCGGCTGTGGGTGGTGTGGCTGCGGGCAGGGAGACAAAGCAAGCTCCATTTGGCTCTGGGCGCTTGCAGGCTCCGGTGCCTTTCCTGCTTGTGGATGCTCTGGAGCATTCCTGCTGCTGGCATGAAGGGGCTCCGGTGGCACTGCCACGTTGGGAATGCACCCCTGGGTGGGAAACCTCACCCTGCTGCGTGCTGGAGCCCACGCTCCTTTTCCATGGGTTCTCTTTGGGATGAACTATTGTCTCTGGCATCCTGTTTGTTCCTGGGGCAGGGAGAGGGTGACTGGGTTGGGCAGGAATGGCAGGCAGGGGTGGTGCTGCTTGGCTGCCCTCACCTCCTACCTGCCTTCCCTGCCAGCTCTGCCCTGTGGGTGCCGGCATCGATTCGGGCCACACCGATCCATAGGGAAAGGTAGAAATAAGCAGCTCAGAGGTGATGGGGTTGAACTGCAGCGTTCTTATTTAACAGCTCCCATTGGGATCACCCCGGAGAGGGGAGGATGGGCTCCGGTCCCGCAGCACCTTTAACTTCCAGGGCAGGTTTAGACGGAGCTAGGTTCCAGTGCTGGGCAATGGTTGGACTGGATGGCCTTGAAGGGCTCCTCCATGATTCCATGGTTCTGCCACCTCCGCTGCCGCGGCTCTCCCTGCGGATCCCAGCGCCTTGGTTCCAGCTGGCGTGGGGCAGGTCCCGGCTCCCCTCCGCTGGGCAGTTACTGCCCCAAAGGGCACTGAGAGCCGGGGCCTCATTCACTGCCCAAAGCCAAACCCGCCCGTGGGTTCCTGCGATGGGGCACGACTCTAATGCGCAGCCCCACTGACACCCCGCAGGGCGCGCTGCGAGCGGGAGCCCCAGGCAGCGGCACCCCGGGGGCACCGAGCCCCTTCCCGGGGATGGAATTAACCCGTTCCCGGCAGCTCCGAGCGCAGGGCGCTGCCAACCGGAGCCGCCACTGAGCCCCTGGGACCAGCGACGGAACCGGGCGCTGCGGGGGGGCACGCACAGGCGCTGCCCGGGCCGCGCTCCAGCGCCGCCTCCGACTCACTGCGGGGCCCGGCGGCGCCCCGGGGCCGGCCTTGACTCAGGGCTTCCGGCGGCCGAGAGGGCCCGGGGAGCCCCGGCCCCGCCGCAGGTGTCCGAAGGTGGGGGGGGGCCTCCGCCATGGCGGCTGCGGGCCTCGCCCTTCGCTGAGGGCCTGGGGCGCCGGGTGCCATGGCAACGGCTGCGGGGCGAAGGGGCGGGGCTGCTGCCTCGCCGGGGTTGGTGTATTCCGCTGCCACTCAAGCGGAAGGGCCCTGCGCGTCGTCTCATTGGCTGCTGCCGCTGCCGCTCGGCGGAGGCTTCTATTGGATGAGAAGCGCTGTCACTCAGGGGCGGGTCGCGTTTGCTCTGTTCTCGTCACCGATTGGCCCATTGCGCCAATTGGCAGTTTAGCCCGCCTGCCCGCAGGCCGGCGAGGGCGGGAGCAACGCCTCTCCTCCGTCTTTCATTGGTCCGCCGCTTCCTCCCGCCTTCCCCTTCACGGGCGCCGATTGGCGGCGGCGCCGCGCGAGGCGGGAGGGGGCGGTGGTTGGCCAGGGCGGGGAGCGGGAGCGGGGCCGGCGGCGGGGCCGGGATCGGGACCGGGAGCGCGGTGGCGGCCGGCGCCGAGCGGGTAGCGGCCGGGGGGGGAGCGGAGGGGAAGGGGAGCGGCGGGGGGGGGCGGGTCACGAGGTGGAGGGAGGGGGTCTTAAAGGGGCCGCGGGGTGAGGGGGGGGTTATGAGGAAGGCGGCGCTTGGACCCCCCCCCGCTCGCTCGGCAGCACCCGGCCCTGCGCTGCCCCCGGTGGGTCCGGGACAGGCCCGGCGCGGGGATGTTTTGGTGCCGGTGGTGGCGGAGCGGGGCCGGAGGCCTCGGGAGGGGAGGGGGGGGGGAGCTGACGCGCGGGGCTAAGAATAGCGCGGGGAGGGGAAGCGCGGACAATGGGGCGAGCGGCGGGGCCCCGCCGTGAGCCGGGGTCCGAGGGAGGGAGGGAGCCGCCTCCTCCGCCGTGCGTTACCGGGCGCGCTCTCCGGTTCCGTTTCAGTTGCTGATGAAAGCGGAGCAGGGCTTGGAGCTTCCATGAGCGGGACCTTTGGGTCGTAAGCGGCGCCTTCAAGGAGCGGCGGGGAGAAGGGACAAAGGAGGCGGAGGAGGAGGGAGCAGCCCCCGGCCTGGAGCAGGGGGGAGCCGCTGGATGTGGAGGGTTTGGGCAGTAAGTGACCGGGTCCTCGTGTACCGGGAGGAGAAGGCGGGGGGAGGCCGAGTTTGGTGCTGCTTGAGCTCTGGAGCCGTCATTCCACGAGTGTCAGTGGAAACCCAAGTGCGGAACCCAAAGCCTTGGCTGTGCTTTAAGCTCCCATCCTGAGCACCGAAGCCGCTGCTTTGCTCGGTCGGTGTGAAAGCGGGGCAGGGCGAAGGCCAAGCCACCCAACCTGTTGTGTGTGGGGCAGTCAGCCAGCGCCAGCGCCAGCGCCGTGCTTTTGGTGCCCTTTCTGTTCATTCCCAAACCTTCCTCTCCTTCCTTTCTCCCCCTCCTGCTCCAGAAATGCTTTCTCTGAAGAAATACTTCACCGAAGGCCTCATCCAGTTCACCATCCTGCTCAGCCTGATCGGCGTGCGCGTGGACGTGGACACCTACCTGACCTCGCAGCTCCCCCCGCTCCGGGAGATCATCCTTGGCCAGAGCTCCGCTTACACCCAGACCCAGTTTCACAACCTGAGGAACACCTTGGACGGTTATGGCATCCACCCAAAGAGCGTAGACCTGGACTATTACTTCACCGCCCGCAGGCTGCTCAACCAGGTGAGGGCCCTGGACAGGTTTCAGGTGCCCACCACCGAAGTCAGCGCCTGGCTGGTGCACAGAGACGCCGAGAGCTCCGTGGCTGGGGCTCAGCCCAGCGCCGGCATCGCCCTAGAGAACGGCAGCGGCCTCCAGGATGGGAGCAGCCCCGACGCCGGGGTGAGGGAGAGCGGAGCTGAGCAAGGCTTTGGGGAGGAACTGGAAGATCTGGGAGCGGTGGCTGCCCCTGTCAATGGCAACCTGACCAAAGAGGTAGGCAGGAGCCTCTGTGGCTGCTGGGAGGGGTGGGGGTGTGTGTGTTGCTCTTTGGTACCCACCTGAGCGAGCAGCGTGATGCACGTTGGGTTTAGTGCTTGGGAACAGCGGGTCCTCACTTGGGATGCTCCGTTAGGATGCATTTAGGGGTGCCTGGGTTACACATGGGGTGGGTTTTCCTTGTTGTTTCTCCTCTCCTCAGCCTGATAGCAACAGTAAACCGAGGGGGAGAGGGTTGGGGCCAGCGTTTCGCCCTCTGCACGTGGCTTTGTGTTGCGAAAGCGATGGGACGAGGCTGGGAAATAAACAGGGGCGTTGGGTAACAGCTCCTCCCGGGGCCGGGCGGGCGGGCAGGCGGCTTCCTGGGTGCTGGAGCTCCTCCAGTGCCCCTGGTGACGGCCGGGCTTTCATCACACGTGGGTGGGGAGAGGTGAACTGCAAAGCGCTTCCTGCCTTGGCTTAGAACCTCCCCTGCCCGAGCACAGCCTCGTGGGGCGGGCCTGGGCCTCGGGACCTGCTGCTCTCGTCCCTTCCCGGCACCGTTCTCTTTGTCTCATGGCGGGGGACCCTTTGTGTCTTGTGCTCCAGATGTGCTGCCCCTGGTCCCTTGCATTGAGGGCCCGGTTGGGCTCGAGCACGTGGCTGCTGTGTGGACAGGGCTGGTTTTGAGGGGCGAGCGTTGTGGGGATGGAGCGTTGGGTATCCCATTCCATCAGACCCCACTGGGGGTGTGCAGCCGTCGACCTTGGGGGTGTCAGTGAGGGGAGATCACCTGGGGGGCTGCAGGCCCCCTGCTAATTGAGAGAGGAGATTCCTTTGCTTGGGAAATGCCTTGTGGAGGTCCTGCATGGACGACTCTGCTGTCCTTCCCCACTCCAGTGATCTTGGTTGATGGCATCAGGTCCTTGGAGCATGGGGAAGCTGGGATCAGGTTTTGGAGAGGAGGCCGTGGGTCTGAGGCTGGGAATGCTGCTGGTTCCCAGAGGCCTCCCACTTTCTGTGTTAGATGCTTGCTGTTCTTGCTCTGCTCTGGAGCCAGGCTGAGAGAGCTGGGCTGGGGCAGCCTGGAGAAGAGAAGGCTCCTGAAGGGGAGACCTGAGAGCAGCTCCAGTGCCTCAAGGGGCTGCAGGAAACCTGGAGAGGGGCTTGGGACAAGGGATGTAGGGACAGGCCAAGGGAAATGGCTTGAACCTGCCCAAGGGGAGACGGAGCTGAGCTCTTAGGCAGAAGCTCTTCCCTGTGAGGATGCTGAGGCGCTGGCACAGGGTGCCCAGAGAAGCTGTGGCTGCCCCATCCCTGGCAGTGCTCAAGGCCAGGTTGGACACAGGGGCTCCATAGGTCTCTGCAAACACAGCCCAGTGCTGCAGGGTGCGGGTCTGGGGCTGCACCTTCTCCATTCCCGGTGCTGAGGCTTCCATGCTCCTCCTCTGTGGTCCATCTCCTTTTTCCCCCCATATCCCTGGCTGGGACCAGCCGGGAGGCTGTTGTTGCGGCACTGCTGGGGGCACAGCACCAGGCACCAGCAGCAGGACATCCCCTTGTCCTCGTGCTCCCACCGAGTGGCACGTTGCCCTTGGGATGCGGTGTGACATTCCAAAGCATTTGGCTCCGAGCATCCCCCAGCAGGCTTCTCTGTGGTTATTGGGGTGTCTTCATCCCGAGCAGCTCCCATCCTTCCCAACGGGAATACCGTGTGAGCTCTGCCATCTGCAGCCTCCAGGGACATCTGCAGGGTCTGTTCCTCCCTTCCTTTCTTAGGTGCTGGATGATGATGAGGATGAGGTGCAGCTTTGGGCTTCCATTTTTCCATGACTTTTTTCCCAGTGCTTACAATACTGTGGCTTGCCTGGGTCTGGCACGACCTTGCTGGGAATATCCCTGTTTTTTAGGGATAAGTAAAAAAATATCAATCTAATTATTCTATTATTGATCTAATAATTCTATTATTGATCTGATTATTCTATTATCAATCTAATTATTCCAATAGAAATAAGATTCTTATCAATCTGATTATTCTGTTTTCAAGATAATTATTCCATTATAAATCTGATTCTTCTATTACCAATGATTCTATTAGAAGTCTGATCATTCAATGATAAATCTGATTATTCTATTGTCTACCTAAATATTCTGTTGCCAATCTAATTATTCCATTATAAATCTGATTCCATTATCAATCTAATTATTTGATTGTCAATCCAGTTATTCTAGGATCAATCCAACCCTTGCCTGGCCACCACTGGAGCATCCCAAAGAGGGGGAATGGGGGTTACTGCATCCCAAAGAGGGGGAACAGGGGTTACTGCATCCCAAAGAGGGGAAATGGGGGTTATTGCATCTCCATCCCCGTGCCATCCCGGGCTCTTCCCTCTGCAGCATTGGGGGCGGGGAGGCCCGGGTGGGGGGGAGGGGGATGCTCCGGTTCCCGGGGCCGGCTCCACACCCCCGGGATATAAATACCGGCGGTCATGTGATGAGCTGGTGCTTGCCCCCCCCCCGCCGGATCCCCTTACACTTGGGCTCGGTCCCGGTGGCGAGGGGGGGGGCTCCCGGTGCGGGGGGGGGTGTGGGGGTGTTCAAGGTCACCCCCGTTTCCCACCCCCCACCCCGGAGGCGCTTCCCGCTCCCCCCCCCCTCCGGTGCTGCGCAGGGCGAGGCCGGGCCCGGGGGGGGGGCGGTGGCTCCGCAGCGCCAGGGCTGTGCACCGCGCGGGCGGTGATTGGCTGAAGCGTCAGCCCCCGTCGTTGGGGATTGGTCAGGGCGGTGGTCCCCAGATGGCGTGGATTGGCGGCGGCTTTGCGAACGGGGCGTGTCTTAGCGGCTCATTGGTGGAGAAGGGGCGTGGCGTGGTGCGCGGGTGGGCGGGGCTTGGCGGCCGCCGCAGCCAAGGTAACGGCGGGGGAGGGGCGGGCGGGGCGCGCCGCAGCCCGGCCCGGGCAGGGCGGCGGGACCGGGCCCGGTACCGGAGAGCGCAGGGCCCGGGACGGTGCCGCAGCTGCGGGCGGAGCGGCCCCGCTCCCGGCCGCAGCCCCAGCCCCGCCGAGCCGAGCCCCCGCGGCCGCCCCGGGCCGGCCATGAGCGCCACCGCCTCCCGCCGCCGCCTGCCCCCGCCGCTCCCCCGGGGACCATGATCGGTGCGAGCCGCGGCCCGGGCGGCAGCTGGGGACATGAGAAAGGTACCGGGGGGGGGGGCTCCATCGGCGGTGCTGGCGGTGCCCGGTACCGGTGGGGGGGGGGTGATGGGGGGGGGTCGCACACTGCGGCCCGGTACCGGGGTTGCATCAGGTGGGTGGGAATGCGGGGATTTTCCTGCCGCGCACCCCACCCCTTATGCAAATGGCCGGGATGGCTCCAGGGGCGGATGGATGCGAGGCGGCCCCGGGCGGGCCCAACCGGGTGTCCATGGGCGGTGGGGAGGGGAAGGAGCCGCAAAGCAGCGGTGGGGACCCCCGGGAGGCGAACGGGGAACGGCGGGGGTGTGTGTGTGCGGGTGTGTGTGTACGCTCCCGGCCGGGGTTGAAGGGCTGGCGGTGGTTGTCTTGCAGGACATCGATTTGATTGACATCCTGTGGAGACAGGACATCGATCTGGGCGCCGGGCGAGAGGTGTTCGACTACAGCCACCGGCAGAAGGAGAGCGAAGTGGACAAAGAGCTGAGCGATGGGGACGGCTGGAGGAGAGAGCTCCTGGCCAGGAACCTCTTAGTTGATGGGGAGACCGGGGAGAGGTTCCCTGCGCAGGTAACGCCCCGCAGCCGGGTCCCTGGGGCCGCCGGGGGGGGGGGGGGAGGCTCTGCTTTCCAATGGGAAGGGTGGAAAGAGCTGCAGGAGAAGGGGGGGGGAAAGGCGCAGGTCGTGGTCCGCAGGGAAGGTGAGGGCACCGGGTCCTTGTGGCCAAGCCGAGTCCTTGCGCTGGCAGGAGGGGAGCAGCAATTCCCTGCTCCGCTCTGACGCTCTCAGGAGCAGGAGGATGGAGCCACTGGGTGGGGCCTCTGTCTCTTTTTGGATGCGCTGGAATAAAGCCCTGCTGGAAGGAGCTCCTTGCTCATCGCCACCATCCCCATCACCTCCCTCATCCTGGGGCTGGCACTGTGTTACCCGCAGGTGCCCGGTGCGGAGGATCAGACAGCGCTGTCCCTGGAGGAGTGCCTTAGGCTGCTGGAGGCCACCTTCCCGTTTGGGGACAATTCGGAGGTGAGTGGATGCGGTGATGTCCTCGGCTCCTCATGGCTCCCTCAATGCGGACAGCAGGACCAGCAGTCAGTGGGGTTTGCCTGCTTAGGGGAGGCTCCAGGCAGGTCACAGTTAAGCATTTCTGTCCTTGCTTCCTATCGGTGCAGAGAGGGATAACTGCACCCAGTTTGCTCTGAACAAAGGGGAACTGACTGCCCACATGGAGGGGTGAAGCGGGGTTCGGGACTGCTGCCTTCCCTCCCCATCCATGGCCTCACTCTTGCCTCATGGGGTTCAGTTTCCAGCCGCGGATGTGCCCACCCTGAGCGAAGCCGTGCCCGGCGAGAGCCGGCCCGCGGGCGGCCAGCCCGGCCTGCTCCCCCCCCTGCTCGCCGAGGCCGAGTCGCCCTTCGACCTGGAGCAGCAGTGGCAGGACCTCATGTCCATCATGGAGATGCAGGTGAGCTCATGGGGCGGCCGCTCGCTGCTGCACCATTGGGCTGTGGCGCTTTGGGTCTTGTCTCAACGTGCGCGGTGACATTGTGTGCGTGGTGCTGGATTCACCTTCCCGCAGCCAAGCCCGCAGGATTGGGCTCGTTTGGCAGATCCAGAAGCATTGCCCTGCCTTTGGCGCACGGCGCCTTCACCGGCCCCGTCTCGTGTGTCTCTTGCAGGCTATGGAAGTGAACACCACGGCCGCTGAGCCCCTGTACAACGGCACGAGCGGGGACCTGCTGGCCTCCAACTACAGCCTCGCCCCCAACACTCCCATCAACCAGAACGTCAGCCTGCATCAGGCCTCCCTGGGTAGCTGCTCGCAGGACTTCTCCCTCTTCAGCTCCGAGATCGAAAGCCCCTCCATGGCCGGCGGCTCAGCCCTGCTCCAGCTGGCGCCGGACAACTCCACCGGCCTCAACAGCACCTTCGGCTCCACCAACCTGAGCGGCATCTTCTTCCCCCCGCAGCTCAACGGCACCGGCAATGAGACAGCGGCCCCCGAGCTGCCCGACCCGCTGGGGGGGCTCCTGGATGAAGCCATGCTGGACGAGATCAGCCTGATGGACTTGGCCATTGAGGAGGGCTTCAACCCGGTGCAGGCCTCGCAGCTGGAAGAGGAGTTTGACTCCGACTCAGGTCTTTCTCTGGATTCTGGCCACAGTCCTGCTTCTCTGAGCAGCTCCGAAGCCTCCTCCTCCTCCTCCTCTTCTTCCTCCTCGTCCTCTTCCTCCTCCTCCTCGTTTTCCGAGGAAGGAGCCGTCGGCTACAGCTCCGACTCTGAAAACGTGGACTTTGAAGAAGCGGAAGGGGCGGTTGGCTACCAGCCAGAGTACAGCAAGTTCTGCCGCATGAGCTACCAGGACCCATCGCAGCTCCACTACCTGCCTTACCTGGAGCACGTTGGCCACAACCACACCTACAACATGGCCCCGGGGGCCCTGGATCCCGAGGAGCCCAAACTGCCCAGCACCGGGAAGAAGAGCAGCAAGGAGAAACCGTCCGAGTTCCTGGACAAGCAGATGAGCAGGGACGAGCATCGCGCCCGTGCCATGAAGATCCCTTTCACCAACGACAAGATCATCAACCTGCCCGTGGAGGAGTTCAACGAGCTCCTCTCCAAGTACCAGCTCAGCGAGGCTCAGCTCAGCCTCATCCGCGACATCAGGAGGCGAGGCAAGAACAAGATGGCTGCGCAGAACTGCCGCAAGAGGAAGCTGGACACCATCCTCAACTTGGAACGGGACGTGGAGGACTTGCAACGGGACAAGTCCAAACTGCTCAGGGAGAAAGTGGAATTCCTTAAATCCATTCGCCAGATGAAGCAGAAAGTGCAGAACCTTTACCAGGAGGTCTTCGGCCGCCTGCGGGATGAGAACGGGCAGCCCTACTCGCCCAGCCAGTACGCGCTGCAGTACGGCACCGACGGCAGCGTGCTCCTCATCCCGCGCGCCGCCGCCGAGCAGCCGGCGCGGCGCCAGGACCGCAAACAGAAGGACCGGAGGAAGTGAGGGGATGGGCGCCGCGGGAGGAGCGGGACACTCGTTCAACCGGGAGAACTGGAGAAGGGCTGAGCCTGGAAGTACTTAGAGGAACTTTCAATGCCTTCTTATCCGATCCTATCTTCAAACCACGACCCACACCAACCCAACCCACACGAGCAAAGGGGACTGCTGCCGGCGGGAGACACTGCGGGACCTGCGGGCGGAGCGCTGGGGGCTGCCCGCCGCCGGAATTCCACAGCTTTGGAATCCTTTGAGCGCAGGACACGAGCTGGCAGCACTGGCGGTGGGCTTGGCAGAGGCGGATAAACAAACTACTGTTAGGAACTGGCTTTAAATAAGAGAAACAAAAAAGAGATTTAAGCAAATGAACTTAAACCAAGTGATAGGAGAGACATTTTCTGAACTTCCAAAGTTCTGTGATTTCAGGTAGTTGGTTTATTATTATTTTTCCCTATTTTATTTTCCCTTATTTTTTTTTCTGGTTTTGGTTCTTTTCCTTGTTTTTCCTTTCCCTCAACCCCTTTTTGCCATCGGTGTGTGTGACTCGATCCGACTGAATTCCAGATTTACCCAGCATCCCTTCCTAGAGCAGACCGGTGCACACATGGCAACGCGCGTGCTGTGACTTCCAATTAACCCTTGCCAGGCTTGAGGAAGCTCACAGGGAGAACCGGGTACGTGTGGAGGAGCTGTGGAGGGCTTTCGGGAAGGGGGGCACTGGAGAGGGGTAACAGAACCGCTGTGCTCCGGGTCCCCCCCCCATCACCACACTCAGAGCATGTCACTGCCGCCGCGCTGGTCCGGCACACGCAGCAGCCTGCATGCAAACGCTGTCGTCTCCCATCCGAGGGCCGGGAGCTGGGCGAGTGCACGGCCGTGCACAGCACAAGGGGAGCAGAGGGTTGAACCCCTTCCCTGTCCCCCCCCCAAGCCGTGGGCTCGTCACTCATAGAGCTTATAGACAGCCGTTAGGATTCCTGTTCCGTAACCGCGCTTTGATTTCTTAGGGCTTCAGCCCTGGTTTTCCCTATAGGGTCTTGAGTGCTTGTGTTGAGTAAAAGAAACATACAAAGGGAGAAGCCCAACCGTTCAAAGCTGCTCAATGTTCTCTTTGCCATACCGAAAGATTCCGTGTAACCGTGTGATCACATTATAGGATTCTCTTCTGTCCCTAGGTGTTGGTCTGACTTCCTTTGTTTTCAGGAGGGGGGTGGGGGTAGTGCCTTGATCACTGTCTGTCTCCGCCACGGAGGCGATCCTACAAAGCTGTATTTGCAGTATAGCACAGCTGGGAGCCGACCGACTTTACCAGCAACCGACAGAAACAAAGCTTCCAAACCCAACAGCAAGGCTTTGCCAAGCCAGTCCTGTGCGTGCGGGTCGGGCTGAGGGAGGACTCGGGCTGGGAACGCAAGGGAAGGAAGCCTGGTGCAGGCAGGAGAGAGGCCATGGGGAAGGTGCTCGGATCTCAGGCTGGGGGGGTTGTGGGGATCTGCTCGCTGCAGCCCCAGGAGCGCTCCTTGAGATTCAGTGGCTGGACTTGGGCATGAGCTGAAGCACAAGAGGTGGAGCTGTGGGTGCGGGGAGGTTGGAAGGGGGCCCTGCGCGGATGTTTTAAGTTATTTTTCCTCTTAGAAACTCTTCTTTTGAGTGCTCTGTGACCTGTCAGGGAACGAGGAGAGATTGTTGTGAGCACAGGACGAAAATAAACCGGCTTATTCACTGTACTAGCGTGTTTGCTTCATGGTTTTCTTCACTGCCTTCAAAGAGAAAGGAAACGGGGCCTCCTCCTGCAGGTCCTCCTCCTCCATGGTAGCTCCAGGGCATTGCTGTCGTCCCAGCCTGTCGGTACCAGCTTGGAGGGGAGAAGGTTCCTCTGCTCTTCCCTTCCTTCCTTCCCAACAGCATCTTCCCAAAGCAGCCCTTGAAGTGTGGTCCTGGTTGAACCTGCAGTGCATGGAGCTCATTGTGGGTCCTGGAGCTGAAGCCAGCAAAGCTGCTGCTGCCCAAAGGCCTGAGGGGCTTGATGCTGGGCCCTGCAGGTCAGAGCTGCCTTGGTGCAGCCTCATCCTCCTCCTTGAGCCAAGCACTGGGTCCTGTTGGGCGTTCAAACGCCACCAACGCAGCTCAAACCTCTCTGTTGCAGCTCCATCCAGTGCACACCACAGCGCTGGTTCCAGAGCCAGGGGCTGTTCCATCACCAGTGTATTTCTATGGGGCTCTGCAGGTTGGCTCCTGCCCCATCCAGCCCTTCACCCATCCCTGTGCCGAGGGATGCGGGTTTGGAGCACCTCATCCTGCAGCAGAGCCATCGGAGGGGCACTGCCAGGCTGGTGCTGGTGGGAAGCTCTGGCTGCGCGCCCAGGGCTGCCTCCAGCCCTTGGTCCCAGCCCCATTCCCTTGGCAGAGCTGGGTTCGCCTCCAGCCGGGCTCAAGGGCAGGCCCAGACCCTGCAGCACCAGAGGAGGGGGTCAGGCTGCTCTGAAGCCAGGCTGCTGCCAACGGCCTCCCCCGGGCCCTGCAGACGGACACCGAGCACAGCCTGGATGAACCAAATGGGGCTGGAAAACTGCTCCTGGGAAGAGCTGCGGCACCAGCGAGACCTTGGGCTGGTGCTGAATCACTGCAGTGCCAGGCAGCAGCCTCTGCACCCCACCAGCACTGGATGTGCTTTAGTTAAGAGATGCCTTGCTCTAAGGCTTTCATACCCACCTCCTTCCTGCATGGCTGGTGGAGGTGCTGTGGGGTTTTCCATCTCGTGGCATGATGATGGAGCAGGTCCTGAGCAGTCACTAGAGCCTGGCACTAGTGTCTGGGTGAGACACGGCACCGAAGCTGTGTGACCACCAGCATCAGGCACCTCCCCAGGCCAGGCACAGCCAGAAGAGGAAGCAAAAGCTCCCCAGTTTCCTTCCACCAGGGTTCCAATGGGGAAAATATCCTTTTCCTGAGGATTAAACCTCTCCTTATGGGACTGGAAGAGTCCATCCACGCCTGCTGTCAGTGCTGAGGCCAGCCCAGCTCCACACATGGCAACAGCTCAGGCAAGGGGAACACGAAGCATCAAAATCCACCCTCTGTGGTGCTTCCTGCCTCTCCTCCTGGCCTTGGGGGCTCTTATTGCAGATACTTCTCCAGGACTGCTTTAGAATGGTGGTAGAAAGGTGACAACGTGAGGAGGTCACAGCCCCAGCACTGTCACTGCTGCCAACCCAGCACCAAGTGCAAGCAGGAAGCACTCATCCACCATCAGGGCCCTTGGAGCCACGGTCCTGCTGCTGTCTGAGCCCTCAGCATCTGCTGGGGATGGAGGAGCTGCCTTTGCCCCTTCCTGCCCCATGGAGCACTCCGCACGTCACAGGGGTCAGGAGACAATCATCCAGTGCCTGTTCCTCAGGAGCTGATGCATCCCGCTCCCATGGTGCCACAGATCCGTATCCCAGGATCTGGAGCCTGCCTGCAGCTCACGTGAGCCCCCCACACTCAGTATGACCACAGGCCCACCCGGGGGCTGCAGCAATGAGCATCCTCCAGCTACCTGCTGCGATCGATGGCCCTGCGCCTCCCCGGGGAGCTGCAGCCTTCCCTGCCTCAATTAAGTGGCCGTTCCCCTTCTCCAGGCGGTGATTAATGCAGGTTTAATTGCTGCCTCTGCTGGGGCAGGGCAGAGATCTCACCGTCCCACTGGGCACAGGCTGAGCTGCTGCAAATCACCTGGAGTTCAAGGGGCTGCGTGGTTTTGCAGCCCTGAGGGGTCCATGAGGGGCTGGTGGAGCCCCTGCTCAGCTCTGACCACCACCAAAGCCTCCCTGCTCCATCCTGCTCCCTGGGAATGCCAGGACCCCTGGGGCAAGAGCCAGGATCCTGCTCTCAGGAATGCTTTGGCCCACTCTGCTCTGTGTAGAACTGCACACGAGAAGTGGGAGCTTACAGCCCCCAACAAGTCCACACCAGCAACAAAAGGGGAGGCCACCAGCAGCACTGCCAGAGCTTTAGAAACCCATCCCTAAGCACGAAGTTGGGCTGAGAATGGAAGTGAAGGTCACTTACCCCACCTCTGCTGCCGGGTCCTGGCTAAGGAACACGCGCGTCAAAGGAGGTCCCGACTCATCCTCTTGTCTCCAGGGGTGAGACCGGGCTCTATCCACTAACCTCTAGGACACTTCTCTTCTCCAGATGGAAGCCAACATAAACAGAACCTGGGATCAGGTGCTCCAAGGCTCCGGCTGCAATGGGGAGCCAGCGGCTGCCCTGGGCTGCACCAGTGCTCCCCCTGCTCGGTGGGAGCCGCAGCCACATCCCTGTGTGCCTGCTCTACACCTCCTCACTCATCGCATGCACAAAGAGCTGGTAGAGAAGAGAAAAATCGGGATTATAAATCTAAAATTTTATTGAGACCAAAAAATTAACAAAAAAAAACAACAAAAAAAAACAAAACAAAACAAACAAAACCAAACCCCCCGAAAACAACCAGAAAAACCCAACAAACCCCAACCCGACAGAGCTTGGGATGAGCTTCAACTCCAAACACGGACTTTACAGGTCAACAACGGCTTCACGAAACCTAAACACATGCTCTTAGAAAAGGTTTGTACAAGGCAAATCTAGATACATACCCACCCCCCAACCACCCCCCGCCCCCCGGAGGTGCCAGGAGCCTGGTGGGGCTCAGGACTCCGGCCATTAAATAGATGAGAATTCATAATCAATCTGATTGCCAAAAAAACAGGACAAAACAAGAAACAAACCCAAGGACTGGGGAAGATTTGGGGTCACGCATCCAGCTCCAGCACCAAGGTGAGGCCTCCTCCCAGCATCGCTTCTCATGGGAGAATATAGCATCATCAGAGTGCTTTGGGTTGGAAAGGACCGTGGGATCATCTAGTTCCAACCCCCTGCCACGGGCAGGGATACAATGGAATTGGGTTGTTTGCTTGTGCTGCTGTTGATTCCCTCTCCCTCCCGCAACGGGAAGGTTCCCAATGCTGCGGGCTGGCTATTGGAACAAGTAGAAGGCTCCCCCCTCATCCCTTCCCCTGTTCTGAGAAATAGCACCTTGTAATGGAAAGATGGGTAGAAAGGCTTTTGAAGGGTTAAAATCCCCCCCCCCCCATACAATGCATGTGTCAGTGGCAGTTCTGCTGCAGGACGATACGAATGGATCACAAGTTTGTATTTTCACAAGTGTTTCCCCCCCCCCATTCCCTTTTTCCCTCCCTCTCCACATCACTTGCAGGGGGGGGGCAGTGAGGATGCTGGCTCCAGAGAGCTGGACATTCACAGTGTCCCTGCCTCCCTCACTCTGCCCCACCAGCCCTGCCTTTATTCCTCTTCTCTGTTCTGAATTCAGGTTCTATAAAAGAGCTGGAAACGATCTGGAACATTGTCACCAGACCTCGCCTCCCTCCCTCCCCAGTTAAACAAGAGACCAGTTTCCCCACATCCCGCCCCCCCCTCCCCCCCATCCCCCTGAACCAATACACCAGTAAAATAGCAAAAGAAACAAGAGAAAAAAGGAAACAAAACAAAAAACCTACACACATGCTACGCCGTAAAAATGCAGAGTTAACACTATTGGGAAGAAGGCTGTGGGTTGCTGAGATGGTCTTTGAAGAAAAAGCAGTATCCATCTGCACTCCCTTTCCCCAGCCCACCCACCACCAGGGATAGTCCTTCATGGAAGGGGCTTTGCTTCCTCTCCCCCAAGCTGCAAAATAGGCAGCTTTGAAACAAGCACCCCACTTCCTCCCCTCATTCCCACCCCAGCACCCCCTGCCCTTCCCTTCTCTTCCCTTCCTTTCCAACCCCCCCCCCCCACACACATTGAGCTGGGCTGGTTGGAATCTGTACACAGCATGAAGCTGCAGAAAGCAGTTGAGCAGCTGCAGGGCACAGAAACCATACTGGTCTCTTCAAAGGGCATCTTCTCCAGCCATCTCTACGCTCCCAACCGAGCAGAGCTGCGTTCTCTCCCTCTTGTTCAAACCCACAGTTCAGATCTTTATACAAAGGCTGGCCAGAGCGGGTGCCAGGGCTTAGTTCTTGTCCTCTTTCTTGTCATCGTCCTCTGAGGGGTAGGAATGCCATGTCAACCTCTCCTCATAGAACGAGATCACCACCTGCGGGCACTTGATGTTGGCTTCCTTGGCAGGGACCAGGTCGGCCTCGTCAGAGTTCTTCCTACAGGCCAGAGCAGAGGTGCAAGTTAGGGGGCTGCGGAGGGGGAGGCGGAAGGAACGGAGACCGGAGAGGACTCAAGAAGCAGCAGGAAAACGGGAGTCCCCGAGGTGCTCGGGGCATCCAAGCGCCCCCTTCCCGAGCGGCTCCACAGCAGGGAGAAGCAGCACGGGAGCCCAGGGGAAACCGAGGCGTGAGTCGAGCGCTGCGTTGTCGGGGATGGGGAAGGAGAAGGCGAGTGAAAGCTGCGGCCCTGCCCCTGCCACTCCGTACTTCCGACACGGTGCAAAAGCCAAGGGCTCCCGCAGCTCCGCCTGCCTGGGTTGGCTCCCACCTGCACCAGCGACAAGCCCTGTGTCACTACAGCTCGCTGCCACGGCTCTCCTCTCCCGGGCCATGACACCGTGCCCCTCTTTCTCCCCCAAGCTCGCGCCTGCTGCAGGGGGGGGACACCTTAAAGAGCCACACGACCCCCAAGGGCCCTACCTGCTCGTTTCACATCCACGTTAGCCTCAGCGCAGAGGGTCACCTCAGGCAGCGGCGCCATCGCCAGAGATTTCATGCCAGGTAGCAGGGCCTCCCCAGGCGCAGGTCCTTCCCTCTCTGGCACAGAATAAGTGAAGAAGTGACAGACACAAAGACACACTCACCACTTCATCAGGAACATGAGCTCCCCGCTGGAATCCGTGGCACCGATGATCCGCTCGGGCTCGAATCCTCGGGCAAAGCCTCGCGGTTTCTCCGACTGCAAAGAGACGAGATGCCGCTTGCAGCACCCCCCAGGGACAGCCACAGCCCTGCCTCTGCTCCCCAGGGGACACCGGTGCCTGCTCGGAAAGGCTGGCTCAGATGTGCAGACCAGAACCATGGAATCCCAGCCTGGTTTGGGTTGGAAGGGCCCTGAAAGCTCCTCCAGCTCCAACATCCTGCTATGGGCAGGGACCCCTTCCACTGGAGCAGCTTGCTCCAAGCCCCTGTGTCCAACACTGCCAGGGATGGGGCAGCCACAGCTTCTCCGGGCACCCTGTGCCAGCGCCTCAGCACCCTCACAGGGAAGAGCTTCTGCCTAAGAGCTCATCTCAATGACTAATAATGGTTAATAATGTCTAAGGCCAGCAGGGAACTGAGATCACTCAGGAGTAAACCTGCTGCAGAGAGTGGATGTCCTGCTGGGTCCAGGGGGAAGTGTGCTGCTGAAGCTAAAGCAGAGGATCCAAAGCTGGTCAAACTCTTGTGCTGGCCAAGACCCAGCAGCTCCTGGGATGAACCCAGCCTGCAGAGCCTTTTACCATCCCTATTCCCAAGCAGCTACGAGCACCTGAAGCAGGAGGTTCTCTGCTCCATCCTGTTCTCCCTCTTCAAGGGAAAACAGGCAACCCCTACCTCCTGTTTCCCCCCTTGTGCTGCTCTTCAGGAGAACCTGGTGCTCTAAACCCGTTTGGTTCAGTTTAGTGCTAGAACTGGCTCTGAGGTCACTAAGAACAGCTGGAGCGAGGTTTTGGAGCGTGGCTGCTCCAGCTCCCAGACACCACTGCCAAGTGTCTGGGTAGGGAGGTGAGCACGGGGAGCCCACAGGGCCTCACCTCCTCCTTCTTCTTCTTTGGTTTGCTCTCCTCTCCTTTATCCTCTGTGTCAGACTCCGCTTTGCGCTTGCTGCCCTCGGACTTCTCGCTCTCATGTGCTGTTTTCTGGGACTGAAGGAACTCTGCAATGAGGTCTGGGCAGTCGAGGTTCTCCTCTGGCTCCCATGTGTTATCTTCACTGCAACCCAAGACAACAGCTTAGTTTTATGTCCTTGCTTGCTGCAGCTTTCCCTGCCAAGAGAAGCCCTGGGCACCCGGTCACCCAGTGGAGATGCTGAGAAGCAGCAGTGGGGATATGGGTGTCCTCGACCTGGGAAGCAGGAGCCTGCCCTGATCCAGACAGGGATGCCAGAGGTCTGGGCAGTTATTTCCCTTCTCAGGAGAGAAATGCCATTCATTTACCCTGGGTGCCTGTTTCACACTAGGTTTAAGGGGGAAGCCCCACCAGCGCGTGTTTGTGGGACTTTCTCACCCAGGCCATGCTCTCAGCACCCTGATGAAAGCTTGAGGCATTTAGCACTGCTGCTTTCACCATTAGGGCTGCCCTTGGCCTCTTAGCTCTGCTTTCCAGCCAAGGAGAGGCAGAGGGACACTGAGCCTCCAGCCCAGGAGGAGATGCTCACAGCGGAGCAGCCCAGACCCACCCCACAGCAGCAGCAGGGAGGCACTTACTCCGAGAAGCCCTTCCACTTGAGCAGGTATTCCACTTTGCCCTTCACCACTCGCCGATCCAGGACCTTCTCCACCACATACTCCTCCTCCTCTTCCTCTAAAACCTCTTCCACTTTCTTCTTGTTCTGTTTTTTTCCCATTGTGCTGGCCAGTTTTTCAGCTTATGGGCGACGCTGCTAAGGGAGGAGAGGGAACCAACATGTTAGGGTCAAGGTCAGGTTTGCCTCTGCCAGGCAGCCAAAGCGCTGGGTACACAGAGACAAAGCACCGAGCAGGAACACTGCTTTGGAGCAAACAGGTTCATCCAAAGCAGATAACAAAACGGCAAAAGGGCAAAAAGGAGGTTTGAGCAGGAGTCTTTTCCATCTGAAGCTTTGGCCTTTTGGTCTCCCTGATTCCACCCATGTTCTGTCCCTGTTTTCAGCACACCATGGCTCGAACTCACTGCTTTCATGTGTTGCCCAAAGCAGCACCCCACTGCTCCACACCATGCCCTTCCCCTGCTGAGCCCCTCATGTCCCCCTCACCCTGTCCTCTCCTCTTCCTTCCCCTTCAGCTTAGTTCACCCCTGCCTGCGGTGGCAGAGTGCATCTGCAGAGCTGTGGGGCAGTGGGAGGGAGACAGCAGCATATTGCTGATAGATACTAAACAGTTGCTCCAAGTTAAATACACGTCACAGCTCCCTGTGTTCACTTCCTTGCTGCTCCATGGACGTGCACATGGGATATTCATCCAAGTCACCAACCCCAAAACACTCTTTTGCCTTTTTCCCTCTCTTTCCGGGCTGTTTGGGCAGTCAGATGGCTGCCAGCACATCCAGCGCTGCTGGGGAGTGGCCGCAGTGATGCAGGTAACATGTGATGGGGCAGCTCTGGGTGCAGCTCCGCTCCCCACTCACACACTGGGGACTGCAGAGGAGCAGCAGCCCCTGCCAGAGCCCAGGCGCTTCCCCAGCCTGAAAGGAAGCACTTGAGAGAGCCAGAAACCACAGAGAGGCCCCGCTTCCCCGCTGAAACCCAGCTCGGAGCAGGGAGAGCCCCTGCGGGGCAGCCGGTCCCTGCTGCTGCTGCTGGGGATGGCAGCGCCCGCCTCAGCCCTGCCAGGAGCACCCCTGCTCCTTGCAAACGCTCCCCAGCCATTTCTTGCCTGCTCCCAGCTACACCAGAAGGTCCCAGCGCCGCAGCCAAGGCACCAGTGAGCATCTGGGAAGGGTTTTGTCTTTAGGCTGAAGACCCTGATCTCATCACCAGCCCCTGCCCCCAGGAACCGAGCGCGCTGGAGCTGCACTGACTGATACGAACCAAAGGGGCAGGAGGGCCCAGGTCTCCCCATCTGTTATCTCCGCTGTCACAGAGAGCCCCATGTGAATGAAACTTTCAACAGGGCCCAGACCACCCAAACCCAGCCCTGCATGTCAGCCCCCCCCTGCCGATCCCACCCTGCTGCACGGAGGAACAGGACTCCCATGCAATGCAGGAAAATCCCTGTTTGTGCCTAGCAAAGGGTCACACGCTCCCTGCCTGGGAACGTTCTTGTTTTGCCACTCGGGTTTAGCACGAACCTTCTAGAACAGAACCCGTTCCAGTAAATATCCTTGTGAACTGGGCTGGGTTTCGGCCTCAGCCCAGACCTGCAGCTCCACACTGGCTGAAGGAGATGCCAGGGTTCAGCAGCACCCCCAGCTCCCAGGGCGCAGCTGGATGAGCTCCCTGGGGCACAAGATGCTGCTGTTGGGGTATCAGAGAAGGCTTCAAACCAGGCCCATAGGCTCCAAAGTTACCAGTTCAGAGCAGCAGAAGCCCCAGCAGAGAGGATGGGAGGGAGCAGAGCACACCCCAGAGCACCCCATCTCTGCTGCTACCCCATAGACAGGGCTTGAAGGCAGCTGAGGAGCATGGAAGAGTGCAGAGGGAGAAGCAGCACCTCCCTGCTCAGCAGGAGCTCTATTGATGTGCTTATGCTTGGACCAGCTTGCTGCCAGACAGACATCTTCCATCTTCCCTCTGCAGGGCCAGGCCACAGTGGGTGCTGGCATCAGGAGGTGCTCGGTGCTCACTGAGCCCAGGCTCTGCATCAAAACCCTTTTCCTCCTTCTGCTCATGTTTAGCACTGGAGATCTCCCGTGCTTTGCTTTTACTGGTGGCCTCCAGGAGGGGCTGGTACCCAAGCAGGGTGCAGGGCAGAGCTTATTCTGCTACTGCACGCGTTGAGTGGTGCTGATGGAGCTCCAGTGGCTGCCAAAGGTGGAAACTAAACCCCTTTGAAGCAGTTCCCTGCCCTGTACAGACCAGAGCTGGGGTCGTGGGGGGGTACTCCCACAGACAGGCAGTGATTCCCCCCTGGATCCTTATTCGATGCCACAGGACACCCGGCGCCAGGATGAAGTTTTATTGCCCAACTCATCCCAAGGGGGTGAAAACCCAACCACCTGGCAACATCCCACTGGAGCAGCCACACAGGAACATGCAGCAGAGAGGCTTTGTCCTCCCCAGCTCCTGAAATGCACTGAGAGCATCTTTAACCAGGCACCAGACGGAGGCAGCCCCAAGGCAGGAAGGCTCCGGGTGCCTGTGGAGTGGCTGAGGAGGAGGCCGAGCTCCTGGCACCAACATCAGGCTTGGACCCATGGCCAGCATGAAGCCCAGAGGGGCTGTTTCAGTCAGGAATGCTTCAGGCAGCTCTTTCCTCCTTCCCCTCCATTCTTCCCCTATGGAGAAGGGGCCAGGGCAGTGTGCTCCAGCTGAGGAGGTCCCCATGAAGACGCTGTTGCAAATAAACCCTGGCACAGTCCTGAGGGGTGAATCAGGCTCCCCCTCCCTCAGCAGCCACTTCTATTCAGCTGCAGGCAAAGGGACTTCAGACTGAGATGAGGCAGAAGCTCTTCCCTGTGAGGGTGCTGAGGCGCTGGCACAGGGTGCCCAGGGAAGCTGTGGCTGCCCCATCCCTGGCAGTGCTCAAGGCCAGGTTGGACACAGGGGCCTGAAGCTGAATGAGCTTTCAGGTCCCTTCCAACCCAAACCAGGCTGGGATTCTATGATGACTTCAGTGGAAAGTGCTCTGGTTTCTGCTTGGACATGGACTTGTTTTGAAGGCACCTCAGGATGCTCGGCTGGATCCCTGGGCCACTCGAGCAACTTCCCAAGAAGGCAACACAGGATCAGAGAGACGAACGGTAAAGTCTGGCCCCGATGAGCTCAGAGGGGAGCTGCTGAAGCTCAAGGTGGTGTAGGAAAGGTAGGTGTGGAAAGGGAAATAAAGAGAGGCAACAGAGCAATGCAATAGCCCAGATCCAGCATTTTATTGTGGCAAAAGATGCAAATCCAAGGCCAGGAGAGCTGTGAGAAAGAGCCTGCCAAGGGGAGGGACCAATACCCCAGTGCGAAGGGCTGCAGCAACCCGAGTGTAAGCATCTGGCAGGCAGCAACCTTTGCAAGGCCTCCAGATACTCACTCAGGGCCTGCTCCTTCCAGCAGGCGCTGCCCTGGTTCTACTGGAGGCACTTACACCCCAGAGTACCAGCATCACCCCCATGCAGAGCCCTGCTCTGCCTCTGCGGCTCCTCATGCCTGCTCCATGTAGGCACCGGAGCTGCCTGCTCACAAGCAGGATGATGTGTGGGTCTGCCCCTGGAGCCTGCAAACCAGAGGGGATAAGGGGATATCCACAGGGATAAGGGGATATCCCTAGGGATAAGGCTGAGCTGTAGCTCACAGCGCTGCTGCAAGCACGGAGCCAGCACAGAGAGAAGCTGCTGCACAGGCCTCTCGCTGCACTGCAGTCAAACACGCAGCTCAGTGCAAGAGAAAAGGGACTCGGCCCCCCGGGGGCACAGACTCGTGCATGGCTTTAGCTGCAAAGCTGCTCCCCAGACCCTCCACATCAGGAACGCTGCTGTGGAACAGGGATTTCAGCCTCCTGTGCTCGGGAACATCCAAACCCTCCAGCCTGAGGTGTTCAAAACAAAGCACCCAAAGCACTGGCTGGGTTCTGGTCCCTGGAGGAAGGGGGAGAGGTTTGGGATGGGAGGGTTCCATCTCTTTGGAAAGGCAGTGCAGGGAAGACTCACCCCGTGCTCTGCTCCCTCGTCTCCAGAGCTTGCAAACGCACACATCTCACACCAGAGGTGCAGGATGAAGCTGATGCATTCTGCCTGGGCATTCTTAGGGAGGACAGACAGCTCCTATGGTGCTGCCATGAGCAGACTCATGTCTATGGGACTCAGGGCTGGGTGAGTCCTGCCTCAGAGAGATCTCATCAGTTGTATGCTGCCTAAAATTCAGCTTCAGTCTTCTATACTTGATGTGTGAAATAAAGTTGGCTTATGCTGAAAAAATAAGATCTCAAGACAAATTCAGGATGGGCCTATGCCAAAGCTTTCCGTTTGCGTTTCCTGCTTCTTCCCTGACACTCAAGGCAAAGCCGAAAGCCTTTGGGAAGAGGAAAACAGAGCAGGGAGACACCGAAAGGGTAACTTTTCGGTGCAGCTAAAGGGAAAAGGATCCAGGACAGACCTGAGCCACTGGAAAAGGATTCAGCCTCTGGTAAAAGGCCATGAAGAAAGAGCGGCTGAAGGCAGTGCTGCCACAGAAATGGGGAAAGGGGAGCAGTGTGGGTCAGATGCTGGTACCAAGAGAACAGCCCAGCCCCATGGGGAGGACACTGCCTTTGGAAGATCAGGAAGCTCTACCCACACCCTCCTGGGATGCCTGGTGCTGGTCTCAGCAGTGGAAGAAGGTTCAGAAAGGCAAAGGAAGAGCAGGCTAAGAAGAAAGCTCTGAGGTTTCACTGCGCACAGACTCATTGGCTGCATCTTCAAGGATGAACAACGGCTCAGCTCCGCTTCCAGGAGCTTTAAACCTAAAACGTTTCCTCCTCCTGCCTCCCTCCTTGGCTGCGACCGCTCGTCTCTATAAAGACTCCCGAGCACGCCAAGCGCCTCCCGCACGCGCCAGGGAAAGGCAGCAGGGATCTTGCTTTTGAAGTGGGAAGCAGCACTTTAAGGCTTCCACTCTCCAGAACCTGGGAAGAGCAAGGAAACAGGCCTGGGAAGTTGGAGGGAAAGCTCCAGCCCTTGAGCTGAGAGCAAAGCCACAAGCTTCCAGTTCAGCCACATCATTCCCAGTTCAGTTCACAATCCAGCAGACAAAGCACCTCTGCATTTCCGAGTACACGCACAACAGGAGGGATGAAAATCAGAACCTGAGGGAAGAAATCCCATCACACCACCAGGAATGATGTGACCCAGGCGGACACAAGCACTGAGCTCCTCTAGATCAGATAAATGCTCCTGGAATGAGAGCAGGGATTTGCATTCTTCTCCTCCCTTTTGTAGGAAAAGCACTGCCCCAAGTGCTGTGGGATTCCTGGTTTTCCAGTGCCCCTGACATCGCACTGTGTTCCTCTCACAAGCAGCCCCAGGTCCCTGCAGCACCTTCCCCTCCAGCCTTCATCCCTATGGACACTGGGGCCGCATCCAGGGGCATCTCCCCAGCACTGCCTGCCTGCGCTCCCAGACCTGGTTGGTTTTGCCTCTCCCTGGCACTGGGCAGGGGCTGGAGCAGCCACATCTTCATTCTCATTCCCATTACCAGGATCTCAAGCACTGATAGGAATCCAAGCCTGGGTCACCAACCAATGGAGCATCCCTTCATCCTGAGCATCCCCATTCCTGGCAGTGTTCAAGGCCACGTGGGATGGGGCTTGGAGCAAGCTGCTCTAGTGGAAGGTGTCCCTGCCTGTGGAACTGGATGAGCTTTCAGGTCCCTTCCAACAGAAACCATTCCATGATTCTATCCCACCACAAACACCCTCCCCTCTCAAATGCATAGGGATCTTTACTCCTGGAATCAGGCAGCCAGAAAACCCCTTCCCACTTTGATCCCTCAGTTCATAGGGACAACACACGCTTGCTGCTTTCAAACCCATCAGCGAGCACTGCCCATCGCTGGGTCCTCCCCATTCAGCCCCCTGCCACCTCCTCCACACCAGCTCCACAGCCCCGAGCCCAAGCCCACTGCTGCCCTCTCAGCAGCTCCAGGGACAGCTCCGCATCCTCCACCTCCTCCTCCACACAGGTACGAACCCCCTTTGGCTCCATCACCTTCCCTTTCCGCAAGCCCTGTTCTTCCCCCCCCAACCGCTTTATCAACTCCCATTCCGAGTGTGGATTGAGGCCCACAGCTCCCAAACCTCAAAAGGCAGCCGGAGGAGCTGCCCAGACCCCCACCCTGCGCTATGGGAGAGCAGGGCTTGACCCAGCACCAGCTCCTGCTGCATGCCCCCGCTTCCAGCCACAACCGCCCCTTCGCCACCTCACCCCCCCCCCCCTTCCGGCCCCGGGGCGCTCCGCCGGCATCAGCCCCATCCCGTTCCTGGCCCCCCGCAGCCTGCGGAGCGCTTCCCGCTCATTCTCCCCGCCAAAAGCTGCCGCTCGTCCCCTCCCCTCCCCGCGGCCGGAGCCCGGAGCCCTCCTCCTCCTTCCCGGCGCATTCCCGCAGGGAGCAGCGGCTCCTCCGGTGCTTCCTTAAAGCCCCGTCCCGTCCAGGCGCCCCATTCCCCACGCACGGAATGCTGCTCCCAAAGAACACTTCCACCCCTAAACCCAGACCCTCCGCACCAGCCCTCATCCTCCTCCTCCGTCCAAAGCCCCCGACCCGGGGGCTCCCCTCAGATCTTCCTCTCCAAGCACCCCGCTTAACCCCGGGCCCAGCCCCTCGGGTCCCCCGCTTTGAGGGGCTCCTCACCACCAGCACCCCCATTAGCGCTTACCCAAGCCCCCTCCTTCCACTCCTCACACCCCAAACCCCCCCCCCCTTTAACGGCCCCAACAGCATCTCAGCGCCCTCACCCCCCCTCTCGCGCACCAACGGCCGGTTCCCCTCACAGCGGCCGCCTTTACCACAGCACCACTATCCCCCCCCCCCCCACCGGCCCCCCTCAGCCCCCCCCGACCCCCATCGCGCCCCCCCCGCCGGCGGCCGCCTCGCACCTTGCACAGCCCCGCCAACCGTCGCCGAGGGAAGGGGCTGCAGGAGGGCCCGCTCCGTGTCACCGCGGGCCTGGCCGCGCTCCGTCCGCCTCCCTCGAACAAAAGAGCCCGGCCAGCCCCGGTGCCCGCCGTGCGCACTGCGCCTGCGCCGCGACCCGCGCCCGCCGCGAGGCACTATGGAAGGCGTAGTCCTCTCTCCTCCCCGCCTCGGTGCACGATGGGAAGTGTAGTTCCCCGCCGCGCTGCCGACGCACGCTGCTCGGAGCGTGTGAACTACAACTCCCAGCACACCCCGCGCCGGAAGAGGGAAGCACCGCCTGCGGTATAAGGCCGCCGCGCTGCCGCGCTGCTTAAAGGGGCCGCGGCCTGCGAGAGGAGGTGAGGGGCCTCCCGGGGGGGGCGGTTCGTTACTGCTCGGTGCGGGGCCGGGCCCCGCGTAGGCAGCGCCCAGGCCCCGGCGGGGAGCCCTTGACCCGCTCGGGGAGGAGGCGGCGGGGCCGGGCCCCGAGAACGGGCGCTGGGCCCGGGCCCCCCGTTACTAGTCCCAGGGGCCGGGTGTCGGGGCGGTGGGCTGGCTGGGCCCCCCCCCGGTGGGCAGCGGAGCCCGGGTTTGGGTCTCCCATCTTAACGGGGGGCCCCTTCCTTCCCAAATGGGGAAACGACGTCAGTAGAGCCGCTCCGGTGCCGGCTGTGGGCGGCTCTGCCCGAGCGTGACGGGCAAAAGCAGCAACAAACGGGGCTCGTTCCCGGTTTTGTGCAGTGGAGCTCTGCCAGGCGTTCCTCTAAATCCAGAGCCTCCCGTGGGGCTGGAAGGCGCCTGGAGCAGAGATGTGCGGGCACAGATGGACGTGACGCCCGTCAGGGCATGGGGCTGGAGTGGGGCCTCTGGGCTGCCACTGGTGCGTGCTGGTTGGGAGAGAGCGTTCCAGGCAGGTCCCGCTGATCCCGAGGGATGGAGGCTGCTGTTAAGGCCGTGTCTGAGTCAGCAGGAAGATAGCAGATAGCAGGGCAGAGATAAAAGCTGTCACTTTCTCTGTCCGCAGTGTGAGCACGGGGGCCTGCATCCGGAGCCGTGCTGGGCAGGGCCATGGGATGTGCCTCTCTGCCCTCCACCTCTTCTCACTGTGAGACCCTGAAAGCCTGAACCCGGGAGCACTGGAACACAGATGGGTGGAAGATAAAACCGGACCCAACCGCATATCTCAGGGTCCCTTAGAGCGAGGCTTTACGTAAAAGCCCTGAAAGAGGATTTGGTGCAACTGCTTAAAGCTGCCTGGGAGCTGCCTCCTGCCCTGGGTGTAAGTTGATTGATGAAGTTAAGATCAATTAACTCCAAATAAGGCATAAATAAGATTACACGTTTCTTGGTACAACTCTGCATGGAAGGAGAGGGAGAAGATGGGAGCCTTCAGACTCTCATCCCCGCCTGTCCTGCTCCTCGCTGCCTGCAGGGAGCCACCTCCTCCCTGTGGGTCCCTCTGTTCTTAAGAGCACCCTTTCCATAGCTGGGAGAGTGAATTCCTCCTCCTGGCAACCCTCCCCTGTGCCATTAGGCAACTTCTGTGGCTCCCTCTTCTCCCTCCTGCATTTGTAATCTCACCAGGGCTGTTACGCAAAGCAAGGAGCTCTAAAAGCAACGGGATGGGCGGCAGCATCCCCAGGGAAGAGGATGGTGGAGCCCTGCTGCTGGACTGAGTCTCCCTGGGAGCCCCCAGCACGGGGGAGGCCGGAGCTCCCCCTCTTCCCGTGCTGAGCAGTGACTCACTCGTGTCACATTTGGCTCCTGCGCTCCCCTCCTTCCCCAGGGGAAGCATCACGTGGGCTGCGGCGTGGGCTGGGGGTTATTTTGGGAGGTTCCCCTCGCCCTCCCCCTATACAGCTCCAATTGGGAACAGCAGCGGCCTGACCCAGCTCCAGCAGAGTTCAGCTCCTGGGAGGCAGCTCGGAGCGGGGCTCTCTTTGCTCTCTATCCCCGAGCTCCCCTCTGCTGCCATGAAGGCTCTGTGTGCTCTGGGATGGGGTGGCTCCAAGGCCTATGGAAAACACCTGCAAACCGGTGGAGCGGGATTTTTCCAGCGTGGTTTGTGGCTCAGCCCCTCCCCGTGTCCCAGCTAAAATTAGCTCTGTCTTCACAAGAGCTTCGCTTCGCATCTGAGCGTATAAATAAAGGCTGGCTCCCCAGTGCTGCCTGGCACTTGGCAGCTCCCATGGCCCAAAAGGCACGGCTCCAGGAATGGGGAACAGGTGAAGGGTTGCTCTGTGAGCACAAAGTGCTGCTGCCTCAGCCCAGGGGCTCCAAAACCGCCTCCAACCCATCCCACAGGCGAGGTGAAGCCAGGCCATGGGATATGTTTGGTCTTCCAGCTCCCCCTGACGAGTGTTCCTGCTCTGTGTGCAGACAAGGTGTCTGTGGGGTGGGGGGACCCTCTCTGAAAGGCTTTCACTGGATGCATTGTGCTTTTCTTGGGGCTGTGGGGCTTATCTTGCTGTTCCCCCCCGTTTCCTCCAAGCCTTGGCACTGTGGTGGTGGTGCAGAACAGGAAGTCCTGCAGGAGCACACAGTGGTGGAGCTGGATGCTCTCCTTGCTGGGGGTTTGAATGCATCCTCTTGATGTGGTGACTGAAGGGAGAGGAGCAGGCAGAGAGCGTGGCCGTGGGGGCTGGAGAGGTTCCTATGGGATAGGACAATGCTGGGAGGTGCAGAGTCCCTGTGAGACCCTCCTGTGTTGATCTTGGCTTCCTAAAACCTTCTCCTTTCTCCCTCCAGATGTTTCCCGCTGGGCTCTGCCTTTAGGATGTTGGAGAACCGAGAGGAAGTAAGAACCTTTCTGACCTGGGCTCCCTGCTCCTGGCTGGGGTGAGGGGTGCTGGGTGCTGGGCAGGGTCTGAGGGGCAGCTGGTGACCGTGCCCCCCCTCAGGCAGTGCTTTGTGCCTTAGGAGCTGACCACGGTGCGTGTCCAGGACCCTCGGGTGCAGAATGAAGGCTCCTGGAATTCCTATGTGGATTATAAGATCTTCCTCCACGTGAGTTGTGGCTGTGGGCCAGGGGTGAGCTCCAGAGCTGGGTCGTGAGGCTCCTGATTGGGTTTGTGTGGCTATGGGTGCCTGTGCTGAGCAGGGATGGAAGGAGCCAGGAAGGGGGAGCCCTCAGCACCCTCCTCCTGTGCAGGTCTGAGACCCAGCTTCTCCCCTGGAGCCTGCTCAGCTTTTCAAGGCACTTTGAGTTCTTCCAAACCCCATTGCTTTGAGGGGATCCCTTAGTCCCTGAGCTCTGGGCAGGCAAGCTCCTGCCTTCCTCTGCTTTGCTGCACCTCAAGCACGTGGATTATCCCATGTCATGTGGCTTATTCCCATGTTTTGGGGTTGTTCTGCAGACCAACAGCAAGGCCTTCACTGCCAAGACCTCGTGTGTGCGGCGCCGGTACCGTGAATTCGTGTGGCTGAGGAGGCAGCTCCAGAAGAATGCTGGCTTGGTGTAAGCATGCCCGTGCCTTGTTCTCCCTCCTGTCCCCTTCCTGCAGCCAGACACTGTTTCCCATTGACCCACGTGAACTCAGGGAGATGTGGATAGAAACTCCAGGCACTAACATGGGATAGCTGAGCTCCTGGGGCCCCCCCGTGTCTCCTTGCACTGGGGTGATCTGGTTCTTCTGCTCTGTCCCTGCAGGCCTGTCCCAGAGCTGCCCGGGAAATCCACCTTCTTCGTGGGCAGCACGGATGAGTTCATCGAGAAGCGGAGACAGGGGCTGCAGCAGTTCCTGGAGAAGTGAGTGTTGCATTGGTGAGGGCTGGAGGGGGGGACAGGACCCCCTGCTCCAGCCTGGCTTCAGGGATGCTGCCTGGGAGCTGACAGCAGAGCTGGGTCCCCTTGGCGGGGTGGGCGCCCCATGGTGCTCCTGCCTCAGCCGCCCTCCTCTCTGTGCACAGGGTGGTGCAGAACGTGGTGCTCCTGTCCGACAGCCGCCTGCACCTCTTCCTGCAGAGCCAGCTCTCGGTGCCCGAGATAGAGGCGTGTGTGCAAGGCCAGGGCTCACAGACGGTGACGGAAGCCATCCTGCACTATGCCATGTCCAACTGTGGCTGGGTGCAGGAGGAGGAGAGCCGCCCCGCGCTGCTGCCGGGGGGGGACCTGCAGGGCAGGTAAGGCAGGAGCGAGCCAAGGAGCTGCCCGGAGCCCCCTGCATGGTTTGGAGTTTCCCTGTCCCAGTCAGGGGATGCATTGAGCATGTGTTCCCCAGCCCTGCATCCCTGCGGGTTAGGCCATCGGAGCTGGGCATCCTGGGCTGTCACCAGCAGCCTCCTGTGCTGCACACCAGGAGGGTGACCTGCCCTGGCCATGGGCAAGGAAAGAGCTTGAGTCTCTCAGACCTTAAGCTGAGATCTCTGGCTGCTTTCCTCCCTTAATCTCTGGAGAGTGAGGAGCCTTTGGGGGCTTCCAAAGCTTTGTGTGCATCTTGCCTTTGTCCTCGCAGCACGAGTGGGCTCTGCAGTTCCTTGTGCCCATCAGAGCTTCACAGTGCTTGCTGCCTGCTGGGGAATGAATCAGGCATCTCCTTGGGGAGGGGGGGTGTCTGGACTCCAGTGAGAGACCTGCTTGGAACAGAGCCCTTCTGGCTTCAGGAAGGGCTCTGGGGGTGAGCAGCAGCGCAGGGCCAGGGGCGGGTACGCAGGCAGGGTGGCTCTGTCCATGCCTTGGGCCTGCAGCCCCGGCGGCCTCTGCCTGCTGGCAGCTTCCCCCTCTGCTGCTGTGCTCGGGGTTTGCGTGCGAGGGCGAGCGGCTGGGAGCTGGGGTTGTGCCGGGGAGGGGAGGGGAGGCAGCCGTTGTCTTGGAGACAGGCGGGCACCTCAGCCCTGCGTCATTCCCACATCCACATCCACATCCCCTCCTCTCTTCCCAGCTGTGCAGGCCTGGGGAGCCCTCAAGGGCCGAGCTGCTTGCAGAGCTTCCCGGACTGGGGCGACTTCGGCATGGACGAGCCGCACTCGGACAGCCCGGAGGAGGCGGCAGAGCCGCTGGGAGCAGGGCGTGAGGAGCAGTAACCGGCGCTGGAGACCTCCCCCTGCCCTGCAGCCCTCGCTGGAAGAGGGACTGCGGCCGAGCCAGGGCTGGGCAGGGTGGAGGCACTTGGGCTCTCTCCCTGATGGCTCTTGCCTGTCCTTGACGTCCCCAGGCAGTGCGTTCCTGTCGCTCTCCTCTTTGGAGATGTAGTGCTTAGTGCAACCTGTGTTTGTTCTCCCCATGGCCTTTGCTCTCGGATGGGAGCAGCAGCAGGGCTCAGGGGCTCTCTGCTCTTGGGGTGTCCCTGGCCTGGGGCGGGGGGCGATGCTCTGGCTCACATCCAGCATGATGGAGGAAGGGTTTTCCTTGTGGAGCAGGGGAGGGCTCTTCAGTGTAGTCCCTTGTGTTCCCCTCAGTACTGCAGGCAGGGGAGGCTGCATGTCCCCGGCAACAGCCACACTGTGCAGCTCCTGGGGCTGGTGCCCACATGTGCGATGCAGATCCAGATCCGTGTCTGTGGCCTCCTGGCACAGCTCGCTCTGCAGGTTGCCTGCACTGGGATGAGCAGAGATGAGGTTTTTCTCTCCCACTCTTCTGAGGGGATGCCCCTTCCATAGACTCCTTCCTTGCACACTGATGGCATAGGGCATCCTCCCAGCCAGGATCCAGTTAGCTGGGAAAGCAGGAGCATGCAGACTGCCTCAGAGTCAGTGTCCAGCGGCACTTGGGCTCTGGCTATTCCTATTGCCTCTCCCTGTGCTCCCCTGCACCTCCCTCCTCCCCTCTCAGCACTGGTGAAGGCAGAGCCGACGTGCTCTGACTTGAAATAAAGATGAAGTGGAAGGGACTGGCTGCGTGGTGGCCTCGCTGCATGGGCAGAGCCAGCTGAGCCCAGGCCCGGCTCAGTGCAGAGCCATGGCTCTAGGGACCAGAGGGGGTTATTGCACCTCTCGCCATGGGGCTGAGCTGCCCTGGGCAGCAACGAGAACCCTGGCAGGGCCCAGGCAGGGCTGAGGGGTCCCTGAGGTGAGTTTTGGGGTGCTGGGCTTGGCTTTGGGGGGGTCTTGACCCCCCGCCCCCCCCCAAAGACCAGGAAGGGTTGGGAAAACAAATGTCAGGAGAAGTTCATGGCACAGGGTGGCAGCTGCCGGCGCTCCGCAGCCATTGGCTGCGCCCCTCATGCATATTCATGGTTATTCATGAGCTGTGCAGCTCCAAATGGTGCAGCTGTGAGGCCAGATGTGCCCATGGACCCGCTCCTGTGCCACGCATGCCCTTTGCTTGTGCAGAGCCTCATGCAGACAATGTGCCCTCAGGCAGGGCCGTATCCTGCCCTTGGTACTCTGCTCCATGAGCATGGCCTGAAACTGCTGCATCCTCCACTTGATGCCTCACCAGGAGCCAGCCAGTGCTGGCTGGAAGGGGGGTTTGGACAGGGCAGCCCATGGGGGCTGCGTCCCCTCTCCTGCCTCCTCACAGGGCCCTCGGAGCCCATCTCCCCGCCTCAGGGCTGCAGCCCCGCTGCCTCTCAAAGCCCCACCTTTAGTGGGGTTGATCAGCCCTGCAAAGCCATGGGGAAAGCAATGACTCAGAGCAGAGCTGGCCCTGGGGGGAGCACTCATCCCTGCTCATAGGTACCCCCCCGGGCTGCGGGTCCTGCCTGGTGGCCCCATGCAGGGCTCGGGGGGGACGACCGTGCCCTCTCCACGCATGGGGCCGGCTCGGTCCCTGGCTCAGGGGGATGGGGTGAGCACGCAGAGCCCTCCCCACCCGGAGCAGCGAGGCCATGGCCCCCCCTGCCCGTGCCCTCGCTGCCTGGCACTGCTCCTGCTGCCGCAGCAAGGCCTTGGAGCCGGGCCATGCGCTCCAGACAGCGCAGCCCCCCCGGCCGCCGCTGCACACAAAGGGCAGAGCTCCCCCCGCTGCAGCGCCGGGGGGTCCTGCCCTCCTCCCGTCCCCGCTCCGCCCCTGTGGCCCCAGCTCCATCCCCAGCAAGGGCTCAGCGCTCGATGCCGGTGGTGGAGCTGGGGCAGGATCAGGCCCCCGGGGGCCGTTCCCCATGTGTTGGGCTGGGGTGAATGCAGCCAGGCAGGGCCAGGGCCGCGTCCCTTTTACACCAGAGCATCCGTTCCTCCCTGCCAGGATCCCAAAGGACTCCTGGGAATGATGCTGGGGAGACGGATACTGGAGACAGGGGAGGGTGAGCGCGGAGCTGAGAGAGAGTTTCTCCTCCAGCTCCAACCCCTGCCACGGGCAGGGACCCCTTCCACTGGAGCAGCTTGCTCCAAGCCCCTGTGTCCAACCTGGCCTTGAGCCCTGCCAGGGATGGGGCAGCCACAGCTTCTCTGGGCACCCTGTGCCAGCGCCTCAGCACCCTCACAGGGAAGAGCTTCTGCCTAAGAGCTCAGCTCAGGCTCCCCTCGGGCAGGTTCAAGCCATTCCCCTTGGCCTGTCCCTACATCCCTTCTCCCAAGCCCCTCTCCAGGCTCCCTGCAGCCCCTTTAGGCACTGGAGCTGCTCTCTGGTCTCCCCTTCAGGAGCCTTCTCTTCTCCAGGTCCAACAACCCCGCCTGTTCTGAACCGGGCACCAACGGGTCCCCCCCCATCCAAGCACCCGCACGCCGGTGCCGGTACCCGGGCTCACCCTGCGGGCGATGCTCCTGCTCCGGTGCAGCCCCGGGGGGCTCGGGCACCCTCCCCGGGAAGGCCGCGGTCTGCAGGTACCTACCGCCATCTAGCGGCCCTTCAGCCAAGTGCGGGAGGAGGAGGAGGATCCGGATGCGCCGGGTTAATCCTCAGCCGTGGGGATCCCAACGGGCCTGGACCACACCTGGGGATGCTCAGAGCTGGGGCTGGGGGTGAAAAGGCGCTGTCTGCACCCAGCTCCGGCTCCAGCCCCACGGCAAAGTCTGGAGCAGCCAAACGTGGAGAGGAAAACGGCTTTATTGTGGGGTGCCACCCCCCGTGCCCCACTGTGCCCTGATGGCGCTGCTGTGGGTACCACAGGCAGGGCTCCAGTGATGGGACGTGGGTCTCTTCATGCAACGGGTGCCTGTAGGGTGATGGGGACGGTGTCGGTGGTATCTCAGCATGGTCAAGGAGAGAGAAGCACCTGGATTTGGGGAAGGGGAGAGACAGGGGTGATGGTGGGAAGGGGACACCGAGTCATTGACATGGCACAGAGGGGCTGACAAGGCTGGGATGTGACTGGGTGAATGTGGAGGTCTCGCTGCCCCAGGTGGGTACCAGGACTTGGCTGCAGACCCCATCCGCTTTCCCAGCCCTGACCCTGCCTTCAGCTTCCCCATCTCCCACATTCCCCCGTAATGGGTTTTGTTTGAGTCATCGCAGAGCCCCAGCCTGGTTTGGGTTGGTGTCAGCGCTGGTGGCTGCTGGGGTTCTACCGCGGTTCTCCCCATGGAGTCTGAAGGATCTGAGACCCACGGAAGGCCATGGGGCACGGAGGCATCGTCCCTCAGCCACAGATGGCTTTCCTGAGCTCACCTGCTCCCATGTAAAACAGGGACCAGGAGATGGAGCCAAAGACAGCTCTCAAGGCTCAGCACCCTGAGGATGCTGGTGCACCCCAGAACAGAGCTGCCACCTCTGTGACGCACCCCTCACCTGGGCTGATGGGTCCTCATTGCTCCTCCAGGTCATAGGCAGCTGCCAGGTAATCCTTTGGGACGATCCCGACCGCGTTGTTGAGCTCTCCAACCCACCATCCGTACACGTTGTACTCCTGAGGGGACACAGTGGGGTCAGTGCTGGCACGCTGGTAAACCCATCACTGCCCTTCCTACCCTTCATCCCCCCCCGTTCCCCACCTTCACCCCAAGGTCCATGGCTTGGAAGCTCAGCATTCAGTTCACCCCCTGGGGTGGGAATTGGGGGATCTCATTTCAGATGTCAACCCTTGGGATGGCCCAGGTCCCAGCCTGGAGCTCTCTGCAGCCGGACCGTGCCTGCTTCACGTGCCCCTTCCCAAGGTTCTTCCATGACAGAAGATATGGGAGGCAAATCATAACAGGAAAAGCTTTTCACACTCCATGTGTGTGTGAGAGGAGCTGGAACACACAGGCCCGAGGAGTCTGCCATCAGAACAGGAGATACTCAGGTACTATGTAAAGGAGGTGGATGTTAACAGTGGTGTGCACAGCAGCACATCCCGTGTCCCACACGAGCTCCGGCCCCTGCGCCTGCCTGGGGCGTTTAATGGGTCTCCAACCTCATCCCTGCTTCCCAGCAGGAAGAAAAGGGCTTTGCTCAGGATCGAGTCCCCAGAGATGGATTTTGCTCCTGATGCTTCCAGATGCTGCTGCCCTCACTGGAGCCAGGAAAGGGGCTGGGATCCCCCTGCTCCCCATGGCCCCCCATGCAAACCGCACTGACTCACCCCCTCCATGGAAAACCAGCAGCACGGAGGGATGCGAGCCCCATCCCAGCAGCCAGCAAGGGCGAATCCTGCAAACCCCGCAGGGGAACTTGGGCTCTACCGGCTGCAGCCCGGAGACCTGCGGGCAGAGGGGCCCAGACGCACCCCAGCATCGATGGGGACCCCCGCAAGGCCCAGCCCGACCCCTCCGAGGTGCGCTGGGATGAAGGGCGGGCGGGCCCCTCGCCTGCTCCTGAAGCAGGGGAGGGAGACGCAAACGGGAGGCAGGCGGGGCCGCGCCGCTCCCTCCCAGCCCTGATTTCGGTGCGCGGTGCCAAGAAGAATTAAAAGAACATTAAACTCCCCGCAATGGCGGCCAAGTCCTCGTTTCCGAGTGCCAAATTGCGCCGCGCTGCATCCTACAGATGTTCCTTAATTATGCTAATTTTTATTAAGCGATTAAAACGAGGAGAGCGCTGGCACAGCGAGGCAGAGCCCAGCGCAGCCTCAGCTCGGCTCCCATTTACATGATGGTGCCCGCGTTGGAAAGGGAGGGGAGGGAATCTGAGGCTGGTTTTGCTGGGATCTACCTAATTACACGTTAATGGGGCCTCTGTGCGCAGGACCTGCGCGGACGAGGTGGGGAGGGGGAAGTCGTTCGGTTGGGATGGTACAGACGGGGCTGAAAAGCCGTTAGTTGGGAGGGGAACTGCTCCAGCGAGGTCTGTGCACCCGGAGGAGGGAGAAGGATGCT